ATAGGAGGGTTGGATGGAGGTGGAGAAGGATAGATAGAATGTAGAAGTTCAGGAAATGGAAGGTGAAGGCAAACGTGAAGGGGAACATGACAATTGGAGAAGTTGTGGGGTAGATAATCTATAGCTAAGAAAATACGGTTGAAGTAAGGGATGTCAATAGAAAGCTTTTTTCGTATAAAGGGGAATAACAAAGGCCAGTGGTAAGTAGGGTACTGTGGGGAACAAAGGAAGAAAGAGAGGGTAAATTGGAGATAAGGAAGCGAAGGTAAAGAAATAGCAAAAGAGTGAGGAACTAATAAAGGGTAGACCCATCGCCATTGAAGAGCCTTCTGTTGTAGATGAGGATCAATGACGCTAAGTCCACCTTGGGAACGAGGTAAAATGAGTGTTGAGAAAGGAATGGTACCAAAGCGGCAACTGTTGATGAAGGAAGTGATGAGGCGTTGCAATGTGTTTTGTTGTGTTTTGTTGAGAGAAAGCAGGCGAAGTACATGCCATAGTCGTGATAGAATGAGTGAATTGAGGACAGTAGCTCTGCCTCTAACAGATAAATTTCTAGTGCTGTGTATGAGACATGCTTGCTGGATGGTTCGGAATAATTTATCGATATGTGAGTTTCGTTGATGGGGACTGGAGTAAATTGGATAACCAAGATAAATAACTGCTTCAGGCGAGGTGTTGTCATGCCAAGTTGTAATGTTCTGTGAAGCTAAAAAGTACTTCCATCTTGGATTAGGTTTACCTGACAGCGAAATGGCTGTAGTTTTGTTGAAGTTGAGTTTAGCATTGGAGGCTAGCATGTAATTGTGAATTAATTGTTGAAGGCATAGAAGGTCTTGGTGATTATGAAGTAAAACGAGTGTATCATCGGCATAGGCGAGAACTTTGACAGGTGGCGCTGAGAAGGGTGGAGATGAGGGATTGTCTAGTTGTAGTTGTTGAAAGGAAAGTGAGAGGTCATTTGGTGATACGGAGGATGGCAAATGATGGTTTTTGGTTTCTAGTTGAAAGTTAAAACCTTGAATATTAGGATTTTGTTGAATAGAACGAAGGAACGGGTCGAAAGCAATGTTGAATAATAAAGGACTGAGTGGATCTCCTTGTCGGAGACCTCTATGTTGTTGGACTGTTGTGGAAGAGATATGACCATTGATATTGAAACTAATGTCAGTAGAGAAGAAAAGAGATGTGATGGATTCAATGAAAGTATGGGGTATGTTAAATGCATGCATAACTTGAGTCAGATAAGTAGGATGGACCCTATCATAAGCTTTCTCTTGGTCGAGAAGAAGGGCAATAGAGTTGGAATTAACATGGTGTGCAATAGCTTGTATCGATTGTAGGATCTGACCATTTTCTGCGATGAATCTACCAGGCATAAATCCGAGTTGGTGTGATGAAATATATTTGTTGAGGTAAGGCATAAGTCGAGCATTGATTAATCGAGTGAAAGTTTTGGCATCTGCGTTAATGAGTGAAATGGGTCGCCAGTTTGTTAGCGAAGAGAGATTGCCCTTTTTTGGTAGTAGAATCATACAAGTTTGTAACCAAGACTGTGGAAATCTAGAGGAGGTGAGTGCATCATTGTATACCTTTACGGCCAAAGCGCCAGTAAGTGGATGCTGCAATAAAATGGAAAGTAGTTCGTACGGTAACCCATCTATACCAGGACTGCTTTGACTTGGGGTTCTAGCCGCACCTTCTTGAAGTTCTTGTAGGGCGATGGGAGCACATAATCGATTATGCATTACATCTGGAATGCTGTCACTAGAAGGAATTGTGCTAGTGAGATCTGCAATATGTTTCATACTTACCTGGTCAGGGCAGTAAAGCTGACCGTAAAAAGTTGAGACCGCATCTTCCATTTCTTCGGTCGATTGACAGAGGTTGCCGATGATGGGATGAATGAGTGGCGGCATGGATTTCTTAGCTGATTTGGATTCAATAGTTCTCTTGAGGTAACCTGCTGAAGTTTCACCATTTTCTCTCCAGTGTCGACCAGCACGAAGAACAAGATTGTTGACATAGTCCTCTTGTACCATTGCAATTTTCTTTTCAACGTTTGAAAGGAGTGGATGAGGAATGCGAGCTGTATCGTATTCTTTGAAATACTTGTTGCGCTTGCGTTGAAGACGCTTCATCAGACGAACTCTCCATGCTGCTTGTTGTCTACCAATCTTTTTTGCAATGGTTTTTGTGATCTATTCTCCATATTTTGATTTGTGCTGGCGCTGACCGTGCACGCCTTACTGTTGACAAGTCGCACAAGTAGTCTCAATTCATGAGAAAGGCAGCCCGACTGATCCAGTCAATTACTTTCTAACTAGTCTGACTGCTACTTCCAGAAAACGGTCAAAACATACATCAGGGAACTTCTTCAAGGCCAAGCATTGTCCTTCGACACTGCTCAAGATGGCTTCAGAGAATGCAAAAGTGCCTCTTGCCAAGCTCTTTGTCTTTCAGAGATTTGTAAATTGTTCTCTCAAAAATACTCAAGTCTACCAGCTCTTTACTTTGTAGGAGTACCAAATGAGCCTCTATACACTCGCCTCTATCCCAAATCATCTCTATGCAACATACCATTATAAACAATTTACTCCTTCCAATATTCAACCTAAATGTTTCCATTTCTTCTCTGGTTATAAACCCACACCCATACACACCATTAAGTCAACACTCTCCTCTCTACTCATTTTTTACCCTTGTTCTTTTAGTCTATCTTTAGCTTAGTATAGCCATGTCTATGAATTGATCGAGTCCGAGCAGTCAAAGGCCACATTGGGCCATGTGCTCAAAAAAAGCTTTTCCATGAAATTAATAAGTTAACAAACTTTATTTATGAACTTGACAAAACCAATACCAATGTGCAAGTACTCTATTTGTGTCAACAGAAAACATTTCTGGAAAACAATTACTTTCAGCTTAAGAAAATACACTCTCACCACAACGCTTCCCTTCTATCGTCTACGCTTTAATGTCTTTAATTTTAAGAGAATTAGATTAAATTAAGAAAAAAATGATAAAAATGATAAAGTCTTGTCAAAATACAGCCAAAAAACTAACAAAGAATTATTTTCTATAAGTCTACTATATTAAGGAGCAAATTGATTTTGAACATCCAAAACACATACGTTTTTTCTGTCATTCTGCTCGTCTATGCCCATCCATGGTCACCCAGGGTCATCCATGATTACGTATGCTCACTCATGATTGCACGTGTTCATTCATTCTCACCCATACTATTTTTTGCTAACTTATTAATGTCAAAATAAGAATGAAAAGATCAAGATCAAACAAAGAATGCGGTTTACTGAGTCAACAACAGATTCATATGTATAGATGAATTGTCAGGGTTCAGCATAATTTTCAAGAAACTTTATTTCACAAATAGTAGAATTGGTCCAGATAATTTACTAACTACTGCTGTACAAGGATCTGCATTAGATGAGCCAGTCGATCTCCAATCAGTTCAGTGTGATTGACAGGTTGATACCTATTATTTTCTATCTACTTTAGAACATTTTATCAATAAGGAAATGGCCGCTTAATTAGATGTAGAACATTTGTTAGTTGATGTTTGCCCATTGGAGTAATTGTGTCAAATCATGCAAATAAAACTGTACTTTTTGAGTTGAATGTATCCTGACTATAGATAAAGCAATTGATAAAAATTAGAGCTGTGAATATAGGTAATATATAGTCATCTGAATCAGATTTAATGCATCATACAGTTTTCCAATACTTTGACACTCTTATGAGCACATATCAGTTTTTTATTTATCTATTTATGTATTTAGGTGAAGCAGGTGTTTTCTTTTATCAGGGCATTCCATTCAAATAAGCTACTTGATAGTACATACCTTATTCATGTATTAAAGACTCTAGACAAATAAACGCTTTAGCAGTAGAAAAAGAAAAAAAGATAGCAATTCATACAGACCTTGTTCTTTTTCTTAGGCAAATGAAGGTGCTTTGAGACCTGTTTATGCACGCATAAATACGTTAGGTACCTAGAAACAATTTTTAATCATATAAACGGTGCCTTTGGAGTTGTTTTAGACAAAAAAAAGCGACTTGTAAAACTTGACCAAAATGGTCTTCCAAAACCAAAAGGTACTACTCGTAAAGATCATCAAATTGACAACTCTTTGAGGTTTTTTTTAACGCTACAAAATGAAAAATTGAGCTATCAATATAATTAAATACTCAAAGTGTGTTCAAGGCGTTATGGTTTTTGATCAAAGTGTTTGTTTGTTAATTGTACTACGAAAATAGCATGATAAGAGTGAAAAACTTATAAACGTTTTTACACTTTTTCTCAGTATTCTGCTAGCATACTTGTCGTGTTCTTTACACCAATAGGCTCAAAAGCAAATATCTATAGCTCTTTCTATTGCACCAAATCCCGATAACTGCGTCTTCATACAGTTCTCAACAAAAGCACAATTTTTTATGCGGCTGAATGAAGAACTGGGGGTTGCGTACATTCTAATATCCGATATCAGCCATCTATCGTCCATTTACTCCACATTCACATTATAAAATGCCTATGTTTCTATTTCTATACGCTACCTGGCACTCTGAATAGCATAATTTATCTTAGAAAAATTCATTACTAATAAGTGTTTTATGTCATCGAGAGCAAAAACGCTCAAAACACAGCTTAAACATGCCAATTTTTGATAGACCATTGCTCGACAACTACATTATCAACGGGCTCCTTTTTTGTTTGAAACATGTTCTTTTAATCCCAGAAATTGAACGGTAAAATTCATGCTTTTGGCCCATGAAGGATCACGAGAGCTTGTAAAGATAAAAAAAGTTCAAGAGTTTTTTTGGAATGCCAGATTGACCCAATGTAGGTCTGATCCAGCCGAAATCTGACAATTCTACCTTTAGATACTTCTGACAAAAACAAGGCCAGTTTATTAAGACGAAAAAGGCAGCTGCATTTAAGCATTGCCTTCAAACCTGCGTTCAAAGTCCGTAACCAAAAAATAAAAATGATTATTCCTTTATGCCTAGAAATTTTGTCCATTTGAAATGAAAGAAATGTCACAATAAGTTAAATCAAATCAAATGAGACGAACTGTTTTTTTTGGAGACACTTTTTTTAGACACTTTTAGTTTCTTACACGCAGATAATCATAAAGTCTCTTACTTTAGACTAAAGAATTGTAGCTGTTTAAACTTAACCGGCCTCGATTGGCTTGTTCTTTATTTTCTTGAACATGATAGTTATTACTAGAGAACAAGCAATATGCATGTTTTTTCTGCGAGGAATACAACGAAGATATGTCAAAAAACTAACTAAAGAAGTTGATGATTTCGTAGATGGTGAAATTTGTTATACAGAAGATCCAACAAAGCCGATCATATGCTCCCTCAAAACCTTGAAGGCTAATTCAAATTACTATCAGTACCCTGCAACAATAACGGACAAAGAGTAGCGTGTAGAATCTTCGAAAGAATGAAGGTTATCATAGATTTTCAATTACCTGACATCTAACTTTTTTTAAAAACATTTAAATAAAGCTTTTTACTTGCTATTAAGGAAACTAATTTCAGCGATATCTTTATTTTGGTAGATAAGAGTAACTATATCATTCTGATTACTGACTATAATCTTTATAATACAGTGTTGAGAAATCGCCCTATTTTGACCTTTGCTCAAAATCCGTTCTGCACTTGTTGTATCTTCTGTGGGTCGTTCAGGAGCTCGTTCCTATCAAATATAGCTACTTTATTGCTATAAGGAAGGCTGTCTACAACAATCTTCTCTATATTAGCATTTTTACTGTTAAGACTCGTTAGTAAATTTAATTATTTTCAAAGTTACCTCAAGAAGGTCTCAAAATCACTTATATTTGTCGTAAGAACAGCAAAAGTCAACATCACAAGGCATGTTTTATTTTAGCAGAAACATATCTCAACATATCTGGGAGTTTCAACATTAGAGGTGGGCGTAAAAGACTACCTATTATATCGTTTTTACCTTGAGTATTGCCATCAGCATCCAGTTTTTCTGGTAACTTGTTATCATCAGCCAGATCCCTGTCCATGATTGGATCATTTGAGCTTGTCTTGAATGACACAAAAACCCTGTCGACCATCAATCGCATTTTTAATTTCTTTCACATAATGTTTGACAGGTTTGAACGCGTTTCTTTTGTTTTAGATTTTCTTGCGTAACCAATTGCACTATATCCATCATTTTTGAAATGTCGTAGAAAAAAGCGATCTAGAGCGAAAACAACCAATTGAAATTGAGTACAATCTTCCTTATAGTTACAATCCAAATAAGCGAAGGTTTAAACTTCAAATATTAAACAAGAAAAAAAAGAAGGTCAGACTAAATCTATTACGCTTAAGGAAGTTGCCTTTAGGAGACGCCAAGCTTGCGTGGCATTCGTCGAAAAAGAAACAATCAATCAAGTTGAAGGATATAATTACTCCCTGCTTTATTAATGATAGAATAGATATTTTAGTGTAGAATAGAAAAGCATAAATACCGTGTTGTTGATGATTATGTTACTTATCAAAGACTTTTAGAATATTTTCTCAGTAATATCATTGGCTAAGAAATATTACATTATCACGTGATCTTAATTATTTGAACACAAACCTAAAGAAATTATCAAGACGGCAGAAAGACTGGATAGTCTGCTGGTATAATGGTAACTGTTCGACAATAAATTTTACAACATTTGCTACCACATATTCTATGATTGAATGAATGCAAAATAAATAAATAAAAATCAGGTGCCTTACCTATGTATTTCTCCTTTAATACGTACAATGATTGAACTGAAACGGTCACTGTTGTATTAATTTTTTTTCTTTTGACGGTAGCGCCAATCAAATAAATCCTTTTTCCTGAACACCATCTTCCAAAGCCAGTGGGGTTTTTGTCCAAGTAAATATGAATACTTCCAAACATAAGCCAGGATATCGCCCATTGAACACAAAAGGTTTTCATACACCTCATCATTGTGTTGATCAACAGGAAAAAAGACTGTGTTGAGAAATTGCAAAAGTCCTAAAAAATTGACGTTTAATGAGATATCTGATATATACAAATGATTTGTTAATTACTTATGAGTTGTAGCTTTTGTTCCTCAATTGTAATGTCGTTGGTTACTGATTCTCTGGGTTGATACTTGTGGTATAAAAATGGGTTTCGGTTGATAGTTCTTTTGATTAAAATGATCGGTTTTGTTGGATCTTCTGTATAACAAATTTCACCATCTACGAAATCATCAACTTCTTTAGTTAGTTTTTTGACATATCTTCGTTGTATTCCTCGCAGAAAAAACATGCATATTGCTTGTTCTCTAGTAATAACTATCATGTTCAAGAAAATAAAGAACAAGCCAATCGAGGCCGGTTAAGTTTAAACAGCTACAATTCTTTAGTCTAAAGTAAGAGACTTTATGATTATCTGCGTGTAAGAAACTAAAAGTGTCTAAAAAAAGTGTCTCCAAAAAAAACAGTTCGTCTCATTTGATTTGATTTAACTTATTGTGACATTTCTTTCATTTCAAATGGACAAAATTTCTAGGCATAAAGGAATAATCATTTTTGGCTTAGTACCATTAATTTTTTGGAAAGTGACATTTAGTTTTCTCAAAATGACAAAATTTACCGTTTTCACTGTACTTGCACTTACAAACCACAACCGCGTTTTAATTGGTTCGAGAGGAAAGCCAGCCATCAGAATCATAAAAGCAAAGCGTAATGTTGTAGCGTATTGAAGACAACATTACTATAGAGTAACAAAGTGAATTACACTTTGATCAACTCATACTGAAAACAAAAGGTAGTAATGAAGCAGCAAATTTAAATGGATAAAGCTGTTTTAAAGGTAGGTTACATACACTGTTTTTATGCAAGGCTGTTTGTGTCACTAATTGAAGGCAAAGAAACAATGCGCAAGCACAAGGTCTATTCAACGACAAGTACTGACTGCAAAGCAAGAAAGTGTACTATTGATTACTAGCAAAGCCCCTACATTGTATGCAACTAATTGGTAGCTATATAATTAATCGATAGGCACAATAGCATTTGATTATACAAGTTTCAGTGCAACTTCATATCTGAATAGCGCAAAATTAAAGCAAAACATCAAATAAACACAGCTACACGGCTAGAAGACATCATTCTCCTATACGTATAGAGCAAGAAAAACGTCTTATCATACTCATAGGCATATCATGTCTTTAAATAAGTAAGGGAAAAGTCGTAGTTGCCGGAAGGAAAGGCAAAAGTCTGTTTTAGACAATTTAATGAAACGACGAACATCATTGTAGGACAAATCAATTATAAAAATTTCGCATTTTGATCCTATCAAATGAAAAACTTATTTTATGATGCTAATTGTCTGTATCAACTTCAGGCATATCAAAATCCCAGAAGCAATAGGTTGATTTGCACTAAGATGTATCAATTGATGTCGCATCAACTTCATTTCTTTTGCTAGCTTCACATAGCCTGACACTCACATCCAGGATTTCGTTTATATGATACCTTTAATTCTAAGATGCCAATCACAGTCATCACCAGGTCGTCATTTGCAAATACTGCCCAATCTGGTTTGTAGACAGTCTCCGCAACGTCTTTGTTGTTGTCCACATTAACGTCAGCATTGTAGTCGTTGCCATCATCTAAGGTACCATTATTACTATCGCCATTTCGCCTCTGTTTTATAGTCGGCAAGAAGGTATTATTGGCCTTGCGAACATAATGATCAGTCACCGTTTACTTCTGACTCATGCGCTTTCAGATATAATCTACTTATAGAGTAAAACTCAAAGCAAATGAATCTTTCTTTGTTTTTTTTGTGGACTGGATACTTTGGACACTTTTTAAGGTGTTTTTTTAATGACAGGAGCCTCCTCTTGCTTAGTCAAATAGAGTCAATAAAACATTAAATGTTCATCTTGACTGACTTTTAACTTGTTTCTTTATCATACATACAGTCCTTTTGGTTGGACTCAACAACTTATTTGTTTAGATTATGCCACAAGCAACTTTGTAAGACGCGTATTTATTCTTAATATAACTAAACACGTCCATTATGTAGATATTCATTAGGTAAATTAGTACATGCTCTTCATTTCCTAACTGATTCTTAAAGAAAACTATACATTTGGAACAAAAGAAGCCCAACCAGAAGAAGATCCTTCTGTCTCTGCTAGACTCAAACGATTAGAAACTGATTTCGAACAGCATGGAATGAGACAATCTGTAGAAGCCGTACTTGTTGTCCATCAGCACCAACATGCACACGTACTCATGTTGCAGATTGCTAATTCATTCTTTAAATTGTAAGATGTCGTATTCACAATCCATGTATTGACTATGCATAGACCAGGACATTATCTCAAACCGGGAGAGAGCGAAGAGGAAGGATTAAAAGAAATTTTGAATTTAAGGCTTGGACCTGAAGATACATCCGAATGGAATACTGCAGAAGATTGGAAAATAGGCGAAAAGCTGTCTACTTGGTGGCGACCTAATTTTGAGTCGTATATGGTAAGTTCTTTTCTCTATGATCATTGTATGCTGATAAGTTGTATAGTATCCCTATGTGCCAGCTCATGTAACAGAACCAAAGGAAAAGAAGTCATTGTATATCGTTCATTTACCACCGACAAGTAAGCTTTAATTCATAGTTACACTAGACTCATGTCAAATCTATAGAGGTGTTATATGTACCAAAGAACATGAAGTTGTTGGCAGTACCATTGTTTGAATTGTATGATAATTCTGCACGTTATGGTGCACAATTATCTACTATTGCACATTTATTAAGTAGATATGATTTTGTATTCGAGAATAAAACTATTACTTGTCAAGAGTAACATCATGGTTTACTTTTGGATTAAACAAGAAGCTATTAGGTCCCCAAAAGAAGTTTCTTGCTCTAAAGTTCATATAGTCATAACCAATCCATTCAGGAGGATGTTCTTCAAGATGGTGTTGGTGTTCCGAATATAGATTATAAGCATTAATGCCAGCAGCTAAAAGACTAATGATCTAGATAAACAAACAGGTTTTGTAGGCTCAAACTTACGTAGGAACACAAACAAAAAGCGAAATCTTCTTCCAAGTACTTGCTGCATCTATATTTTGTTCTTTAGATCAAGTTCCAATCTATATACACTTTACCAGCTGCATGGTGCTTAACAGCTTGTCTTTCTGCTTCAAAGTGACTTTTTGTTACTTGAGATTGATAACGAAGACCAATTCGCTTGATTTGATGGACAGAGCGCAACATTGTTGTATGTAAAGTAAAAATTAAAAAGAAAAAAGAACAATAACCCTTGCTTTCTCACCACATTTGTATTATTTATGCAACTCTGTTTCTGATGAGACTGTGTCAATCATGCTATGGCTGTCAAACTCTAATCTCGATGACGTAGCAAGGAACTATCGGCATTGAAAGAAGAACTCTATTGGTTACTCAAATTCATGCCATTACTGCCATTGTTCAGTGAACAGAGTCAAGGTATGGAATGCAATAGAAAAGCTATCAATCCAACGTTCCTGCTAAAAATACCGCACCATAAATCATTGATAGAAGAAAGATTATCATGAGAAATTAGTCTCATTTAGTACGGAATCAAACATAAACTCGGCGTTATCGTTCAAGTCTTCCTGCCTTGACAAAAGCCAGAAGAAAGTAGTATCAAGTTCAGTGAACAGAATTCACGAATTCATTCTCAGAAGCAAACGTCATCTTTTTTTTCTCTGGTTTCAACAGAATGAATGGTGGCCCAGACTGTCCGTGAAAAGACCGGAATTTGAATCATCAAAGTGTCGGTAACAACGAGGGGTCAAAGACGTCTTGTTTTTTTTTCCTCTCTCTCTGTAGTCGACTAAACCCCCCCTCTCTCCCTTTTTTATATATATGTCAGGTACTTGATCAAACATGATAGAATAATTGTTAATCAGACGATAGAACAAGCAACTCAAAAAGATATGGCAAAGTCTCGAATTCCTCTCGAGTACCGCGACTATTGTGCTAATCTCTTGATTCCCCTTAATAAGTGCAGAGGTGAGACTTTCTATCTCCCTTGGAAGTGCGAAAACGAACGTCATGCTTACGAAAAGTGTCAATACGATGAGTAAGTGGCAGAATAGGCATTGGTTTCGATATTAATATGTGCCATAGTTTTAAGCGTCGTATGAAGGAACAACAAGCAAAGGCAGAGGAAGAAGCATAAACTATACAATAAACACAAAGAAAAAAGAACAACAACGGTTTTATTTTTTTTATGTTACGTATCAATCAAAGAGGATGTAGAGGGTTCTTTTGGTGTGGCATAGATATGATTCATGAGAGACTCGAGATAATTTTCTGCAAAAGAAGACATGTAGAATTCGTGTTCAGAATTATGTGCAGAGACAAAATTATGAGCCAATTCATGACAGAGTGTCATGAACCAATAGATCAATGCTTCTTTGCGTCTACTCGCTTCTTCAGTCTGGTTTGTATAGTCATGCAGAGCTAAAAAGTACCGCAAATTCATAAACAAACTACCACTTAAATTAAAAGCAATAGTGGGTCCTTCAGGATCATAAAAGATCTGTATTGTCTTGAGTGGCAAATCAAATACCTGAGATAGTTGTGTTAGGATCTGCTTGAATCGAGCCATGGCTTGGCCGTATTGTTGTAACACATCATCTGCTTGGACTGTTCGATGGACATAGAATTCAATGCCCATCACATTGCCTACATACGTCAGGTTTTGACCTGGTGTAGCATCACAATAATTCGTGGATTCATTTACTTGGTTAATACGAGGAGGCGTGTAAACGTCTTGACCGGCATAGGGTTTGCAGGAATGAATGGCTCGCTTAAGGTTTTGTCGAATATTGGCTGAAAAATTAGGTGTGATGGTTGTGTCTGACTTGGGCAATTTAGGCTTCTTGTCTACTTCTTTGGTAGGTTCTGGTATATCATCTTTGGCAGGTAATTGAGGTGGTGGTGATGGTGTTGGTTGTGGGTTCTTCCAATTAGAAAACAATCGGTTCATAAAACCAGAAGATCGCTTAGCTTGTTCTTGTTCTCTCAGCAGGGCTGCCTGTCTTTTTTTTCTTCTTCCTCCTCTGAAATCACCACTGCTTCATTTTCAGCATCTGTCTTTACTTTAGGATAGTTGCCTGCAAGTAAATGCGATATCACATTTTGTACATGGTTTTCGTGTTGTTGAGCAAGCAATTGTCGAATATAGCCTTCTTGACAATCACCAAACACTTCTTTTACTTGCTTTGTAAATGTGTCTATTTCTTTAGGCGATAATGGCTTTGGCATGATAGGCGAAGAGACAGGAGATGTTGATTTCAATTGAGTTGCTTGTTGCTTTTGTTCTTGTTTACGAATGTTCAAAATACGATCTACAGGGACGCCTTTGCGGCGCAGGTTATAAAGACTAGCTGTCAAATAGCGCTCAACTACAATTGCATCATTAAACCGCACACGGGCAAATATCAAACTACAGAGTGAATTAGCAATATCATAGTAATCAATGTCGTTTGAATTCGATATGTAGATCACAAAGTTGTTGCGGTCAGCACAAGATGTGGTGGGCTGGACGTTTTTCTCGTTTGTGTATTTGAATGTACGCGTAATTCTGAGGTCTTTGACTTGAGTCACTTTGAGGTTTTGTTTGACGTATTTATCATCCCGCAAGAGCTCTTTGCGTCGTTGAGGATTGTCGTTCATCATTTGATAGATAATGATAGGTGTACGTTCAAACACCATCTCAGTAATTTGCTTTGTCTTGGGAGTGATGCCAATGTTGCTGGCATAGGAATAAGCTTCTCTAATTTGGCTGGATAACATTTTACTCCCTAGACTAGCATAAAAATCTTCCAGTAGAGGTTCCATAGGTGCAGACAAGGGAGAAAAGATTTGTTGGCCCATGGTATCATCAATAATAAAGATATCAGAAGCCTTTGCTAATCGATATTGTACAAATTCTTCGTCCAACTGTTGCTCGCCTCCTTCTTCTTGTTGCTTTTGTTGTTCTGAAATAGACGTCCGTTTGATCCCCACCAAGAATGGTTTTACCTTCATATCGTTTAATAGTGAACGATTCGATTTGATCAGATAAAACTGTCCTGCAATCTGTCTTAATACATTGAGATAGCGTTCTCCACCACTACTGAGGTCCCAGAAACGCTGGGGGTCCTTCACCAGCATCGAGGCCAATTCAACTGTGGTAGGTTCATCCTTGACACCACACGAACGTAGAAACGAATTTGCCAACGATCCAAAACTGACAAACACAAACAACTCTTTATGAAAATTCGTGCTCGACTCTTCCGACTCAAAATAACACTGAGAGGGTTCCACCAGTTTGCCTTGGACTGGAATAAACGCAAATTGACAGAGCACTTGCCAATGCGACCGAGAAAATTCACCCATGCGACTGGCCATGTATTCAAACACTCGACGTGCTTTCTCTGAGTTGAGTTCAGGTGTGGCTAAAAAGGCTTTGATCAATTCGTCCGCGGGTGGGTTTTCACGCACGCCTAGTTTATCACGCACAGGAATCAGGTCTTGATGAAGCACTTTAAAATGCAAGAGTTGAACGTCAGGATTGGTAAAGCATTCACGAGGCGTAGCGAAGGTCTTGCCGTCCGAGCAAGGTAAGAATTTGATTTGTATTTTGTCGACATCGTATGCGTTTTTGTAGTCTTGATGATGCTCAATCAAGTAGGAAAGAGCTCGGTGTTGAATGGCTTTACGCTCCGATGTCATCTGAGCAGCTGGAGCAGCCAAGATGAGCAATGTGGCCAAAGGAGGGTTGGTGTTGAGACCTAGTTTCTCCAAGAACTTGGCTTCCTCACTTGAAGATCGCCATCGAGGACTGCTTGTCCAATAAATCAAGGGCAATTGAAGTTGCCTAGCTGTATCTGTGGGTGCAAATAACTCGGATGCTCTATACCGTCTATAGACTTTGCGAGACGTTGTCTCCATCACAGGCTGACCATGCTCTATCTTGCCTGTAGGCTTTGTGATTTCTCGCATCTGAGGCTCTTCTCCTTCTTTTGTAAAAATGGCTGTTTCGGTCAGACGGCGGATCTCAAGTGAACTGAGTGTCGACTGGACTGAAGTCAAGTATTTGATCAGTTCTACATGCGACCAACTACCGTCCGAAATCAAGCGATCAAACACCATTTGTAGCTCCACATGCTTCCTTACGCCCAGTGCCGTCAAAAACAAGTCATGAATATGACGAGGATGAGCAAAATCAACAATAGGCAGATCATCAAATAAATTGACAGAGGCAAAATAAGCTTCATGAGGTAACTTCATGCCAAACCGAGTGGCAATGCATGTCTTGGATTTGAGTAAAGTTACAATATCCGCTTGTGATTTGGTGGATAGATGACTGTATTGTTTTGAGACGACTGTCAAGATACGTTCTGCAAAGTCTTTTGACGTCTCTAATTCAGGCTTTGTAGTTGCAATAAAATATAGCCAATGATAGACTGTCAATTCACGCATATCACTATGGTCAGTGTAAGAACTCAACATAAATAAAAGTAATGGCTTACCCAAAATACATGGCTAAATCAGAGGTTGAAAAGTGCTTGGAAATACTAAAAGGCATAGTGTCATTAGGTACTGCCATTTCAAGCGGAATGACTTTAGGATTCAACCACCATTTTGTACGAGATAATTGTAGTAATCCTTGCTCTTCTCCACAATCCATGATGGCAGCATCCAGGAACTGCGCACGGATATCAGGTTGAATGCTAGTGGCGGGTATAGATGAATTCCTTTTATTACATTCAATCCACCACTTCATACAAGCAACCATCTCTTCTGGTTTCAGTGATCGAGCGTTCAATTCTTTCAAGACATCCTGCAAACCCAAGGGAGACAAGAGATGAAGACCAGTCAATTTAGTCAGACTCTCTCTACATTCTTGAAACACTACGGGTGTCACAGTAGGAATGGTCTTTATAAACGTATCCAATAGCTCAGTAATGACATGGCCTGTGAGACTTGTACTATCAGGCACTGTTCTTGTTTTGGAAATCGACTGTATGCCATGCGAAGTCATGATCTCAAGAGGCAGCTTACAGGACTCAAAGAACCTTTCTTCATGCTTTTGGCTCACAATAGCACTTGGTGTCGAATGCTGAAAAGTAAAGGATCGTAATGCATGCGCTGCTCTCTTTTCCAACATGGTTTTTGCACTATCTGTTCCCTCGACTATGGTCTTGTCTACTTCAGCAGAATGACCTACTAACTCACGATACAATCTTGCAATTTGTTCCATTTCATCATTATAGACCAATCTTGCCAACAAACCACCAACAGCCAACAACTCCTTGTTCCAGACACTGATATATCGATCTGCAAAATCAATGCTTTCTCTTTCAACCGTAGGAATAAAGCGTGAAGCCATATGACAACAACAGCCTGTGGTCTGATGCGTAGGAAACCCAATAAACACACGACCCTGATGAGGAAATGGAATCAAGTCCTTAAAGATCTGGTTTCGATTCTCGGAGGCGTCTAATTCTTCTTTGCCTGTATAGACCAGTTGAAACTTGGTTGTCTTGGGTGGTTTCTTTTTGGTCGCACGCTCCATTTCCTTTTCATAGTCTCGACTCACACTGACCTGCAAAGCAGCAGTAACGACTCTCAAGAAAATACTGCCCTTTTCAACAGGCAGTCCATTACTGTTTTCCTTTTTGTCTGGCTTATGCAAGAAATTCGCAAAGGGTGCAAAGATAGAAGGCGGCGTGTATTTCTCAGAATCCAGTTGAATCTGTCGCATGTCTGCACCTGTGATATGGAACATACGATGGGGTGTTGTCAAGACCATGTTGCGAGCATCAATCTTCATGGCTCTTGGATCTGCTACTCGTTTTGTAAGACTGAATATCTGTTGTTGGTTAAAATAGACCGAGATGTGTCTTAGGTTGGCTGTGAAGCCCATACTGGTGGTTAAGAATCGACTGAAATCATCAAAATTGGGCATTTCCATAGGCTCTCTCAAGTCCATCAAAAAAGAAGTCCATGTATCTATCTCTTTTTCAGGTACGTCTGCTCTTTTGGCAAACAATTGATCCCCTTTAAAATAAAATGCCATGCATTGAGAACCTGAAAACACACTAAGAGACAATCAATACCAAACACCCTTGAAGCTTTTACCTACAATGGGTTTTCACAGACAGAGAATAGTGAATAGAAACCAACACCAAATGCACCAATTTTTTGTTCATCTACAGAAATTCAGGTACAGAACACATCAGTCGTTTTTTTTTTTTTTTTTTTTTTTTTTTTTGTTGCTGTTGTTAAATCTGTACCTGGATTTCCTTCAGCAATACGTTTTAAACGTTGCCAGTCTTCAGGTCGAAAGGCCATACCGTTATTTTTAAAGACGATTTTATCACATTTAGTTGATAAATCAGGTGGTTTCGAGGTATCTGTGGCTGTACTACTATGAAAATGGATTTGGATCGAGGAAGAAGAGGCATCATCTATCATCTAAGTTACTCATGACACACACACACAAACATGCAATATGTTTACCAGCATTCTGCATGAGTTCTCGGTATAAAACGTATTCAGCCGAGTATCTTGCCAAGATCTTGTCAATCAAATGTCTTTGATTTACTACACATACATAATGAGTCAAGCACTTGACAGTATCCTATACCTTCTACTTTCTCTTCTACGCCTGCTGTATCCATGATATTGGAGCGTAGAAGCTCCAACCGGTTATCCATATTGGTTGTAGTAATAACAATTAAAAAAAGTAAAAAAAAAAAAAAAAAAAAAAAGAGTGATTGAGCTTCTCACGTGCCCTGGCCATGTCCACTGTCACACTTTCTGCATTAAAGAGTACTTACGTCAGTTTGCACAAGTAAAGTTAGTTTAAGCATGACAGAAACTTATCCAATCATGCCATTCTATAAATGATATAAAAAGGAGAGTAAGGCAACTAGTCGTTCTTTTTCTTCATACTTTCAGCATGGGATTATTTTCAAAACACAAGAAATCGCCTACACTTAGTTATCAAAGTGGGCCACCCCCTTATCATAATTATGCACCCCCTTCTCCCCCTCAACAACACACAAACCCTGATTCAAGACCATTACCTAATGGTTGGATATCTCAATTCGATGCTAATTCAAATCGATTCTTTTATGTCTATACACCCACTGCATTACGTCAATGGGAGCATCCTGCTGATAAACCACTGAATAGTCGTGGTGAAAATGCATCTTATAACCAACAAAGACCTTATTACCAACAACAACAACAACAGTATGTACAGCAACCACAATATATACAACCACAACAAGCTCAATATACACAACAACCTGTTATGGGTCGTACCGGTCGATTTGGTGGTGGTGGTGGTGGTATGGGTGGATTTGGCACTATGGCTGCTGCTGGTTTAGGAGGTGGTCTCCTGGGTTATATGGTGGGTGATGCTGTAGGTGACAGCCACCCCGATATTATTGAAAACAATTATTATGGTGATGATTTCAATGGTGGCGGAGGATTTGATAATGGTGGATTTGATGATGGTGGAGGAAATTTTGAAATGTTTTAATGATATCGTAATAATTAATAAAGTTTTATTTAAGCATAAATATCGCCTAGTACAACATAAGCTAGACAACCATTGGGATACGTGCTTTTGAAATGAATGCGTCTGTTGTTATATTTTCCCTTGACTTCAACAGTGACAGCATCTCCTCCAGCAATACAGTCAATAGCAGGTGCGGGTGTAAGTAAGCTCAAATTTCCATGAACAGAAGCTATCTTTTCGCATGCTTGTACTGGCTTAGGATGGGTTCCACCTGGGGGATGGCAATACAATACATAATGCTTGACTTCATCTGTAGTTGGGACTGATCTATTGATATCTAAATAGGTAGCTGATACCAAAGACAATACACAGCTAATAATAACAAATAAACAAATCTTCCTAAGCATTGTTCAACAGAAATATACAAAAAAAAAAAAGGGGAGAGCTTATATATACACTCATTCTTACCGCATGATATGCCGATGTCAATACACTTTGACCTTAGTTAAAAGCCTTATTTTTCTCTCTCTCTCCCTGTCTCTCTCTCTCTCTCTCTCTATATATATATATATATATAAACCATTTCATTGATATCCAAAAAAGAAACATTTGTATTATGATAGATCAAATTCAATTTACTCCTTTCTGGGCTTCTTGGACTTTCTGACACCACGGAACTTCTTTTCACGGTTCTTCTTTTCCTTACGTTGCTTACGACCACCCTTGGGAGCTTCAGCAAGACCAATACGGACAAGACGGTGCTTGGGTTCGAACTTCTTCAAGGCTTCAACGTTATCGTAGATCAAAGCGAAACCAGTGGTCTTTCCACCACCAAAGTGAGTCTTGAAACCAAAGACAGAGACAACTTCCTTGTCAGCCTTGTACATCTTACCAATCTTGGTACGGAGTTCGTCCTTAGAGACGTTGGCGAGGCCAGGGTGAATGACATCGACAACCATTTGCTTACGTTGAAGCAAGCGGTTGGTGAGGAACTTGCGAGTTCTGATAGTGACAGTAGCGTCGGCCTAAAAAATGAAGAGAAGAAGGAGGTTTTCTTTTAATAATGAACAAACAAAGAGAAAGAAAGAAAAAAAGAGTGTTGGTCATGAAGTCGACTGTGATTATGCTGGTCTACTGATGATGACAAGAAATTCATCTATCCATCCATTCATCCATCCATTCATCCATCCATCCATCTCAACAAAGACCAAATCCCTTTTCTTTCTTTCTTTCTTTTATGCATAGAGGATAGCATACCATATTAGGTCAGTTCGAAAGAGGGTTTGTTTCAATTTCGCCTCTCTCGTCCACTCTTCACCCATAGCTCCCCCAATTTGGGCTTCTTTCTCACCTCTGTTTCTACCCCCCCTCTCTCTCATTCACTTATTGTATTCAACTCCGCAACCAATCAAATACGACTTTTGTGAATGCTTGGTGCCAGTTTTTTTTTATTTTGAGTACCCCCCCATATGGAATAAGATTTTCATTTGGTTCCATATAAAAGTAGATTTGATTGGTCTAAAATGAATGTACCATCTCTGGCTGAGTTTAGGATAAAGAAAAGACAACTCCGCGTGCCTATTTTATTATACATAAGAGTCTAAATAATATTTAACAAGCAGTAATACATAAGAAAAAAAAAGGGGAGGGGAGGGGGTATATATATATATATATAATAGAAGGGATAAGTAATGAATGACAAGAATAAAAGGAATGATATATATAAAAAGAGAGAGAGAGAGAGAGAGAGAGAGAGAGGATTATCGTTGAGATGAAGTCCAATGAGAGTCCGAAAGAGTATGTTTATCATCAGATTGAAAACCAAGTAGTGTCTTTTTTACCCGTTTTAACATGGATCTATACCGAGTACCTGAAGAAGTTGCCGAGGTAACCGAGACCCTGTGGTTATCAATAGGCTGATCATGGAAATCCATTGAAGTACGAGAAGACTGCTTTAGTTTAACAAACCATTTGCTGTCTGATAATGAGTGTGTAGAGATAGTATGAAATATCCCTTTTTTACTTGACCAACTCTTACGGTTATCAAGGGAAGAAGAAGAGGTCGTTGAAGATGAGGAAGATACTATCAAGTGTGAAGTCATCCAAGGTAAGAATGAGTTCACTCTCATAAGTTCCAGAACAGCCTCTGCTGCTTCATCAAATAAATGGGCGTGATAATTTCCCTGACGATATAGATCGAGAATGGTCTGTCGCATATCACAAGGTATGTTGATTTCTTGAGGTGAGTTGGGTCGGATATAAAGATTAATCATGGCTTCACATAGCTTTTGTTGTTGGTTACATTCTTTCATGTAATCTTGTACAGCTATCCAAAAGGACAAATTTTCGATACAATACGATTGGTGTAAATAGTCTGTAAATTCTTTAAACATGTCAGAATTCGGGTCATCTAATACAGATTCTAATGAAAGTACTGAAGAATCAGTACTTATCATATTTTCAATTTCTTTTTAATAAAAAAAAAAAAAAAAAGAAGAAAGAAAGAAGAAATTCGATCTCATTTTAGGTAATTCGTCTTTTTAACTATCACTCCCAAAGTGGTACAAATCTCTTTTTAAGAAACCGCTTCTATTCAGAGACTACTGTTTATTATCTTCGAACAGTACCACGACCATGCAATTGATACATATGTTCAAGTTCAGCTTCCAATGCCTTAATTTGAGCATGTTGTTCTTCAAGATCCTTGTTGAGACGATCACGTTCAGCCACCAACTAAAGAAAAATATTATTATATAAATCACTCTTATTTTTTTTTTTTAGTACCTGAGCTTCCCATTGACGAAAGCGATTTTCTTCTTCTTTGACTTGTTTCGTGAAATTCAATCGAAGATCATCTTCATCGTCTTTAAATTTGGGGTTCTCGTATTTCTTAGCCTTAGGTTCACCAAATTTACGAGTACCCATTTGTGCCTGACGATAATTCTCGTAATGAAGTTCTTCTGTTGTTGAAATCAAGTCGTGCATGTGTGACCGGATCAACAACTTTCTAAGCTTTTTAAAGTCACAATGGTCTTCGTTCTCAACCTCAGCTACACCCCATGAGTATTCTCTACCTTTGACGACACGACCATCAGATGTGGTCACATCTTGTGTTGAACCAATAATGGCGAAGGGCATAGCAGCCATAATACTCTTGTTGACTTCTGTTACTTCTTCATCTTCACTGTCAATAGGACAAGAATAGACTTGGATATGATTGGCTGCAATGGAGTCAAGAATCTATTGAGATGGTCAATCATCATTGTTTAGCGTATGAATATTACATTTTGCTTGTATTGAGCTAAGTCACGAGGAGTAAGGGTATCTGCCTTGGCAATGACGGGAATCAAGTTGACTCTTGAACCAAGATGTTTCATGACTTCAATATCAAGAGGTTTTAATCTAATGATTTTAGTTGGTCTTCATACAACATTCAGCCTACTTACGAATGACCAGAAGGTCGAATAAAATAAAGACAAGCATGAACACGCATATCAATAGCTCCTTTTCGAGTAGGTTGTTGTTCTTGTAACATGTAACTTTCATGTTGGTCATCAAGGAATTCATAAATAGGCATCCAACTGTTATAATTATTGACATAATCACCAAATCCGGGAGTATCAATGATTGTCAACTTGACCTTGAAATTCTTTTCTTCTAGTTCTGTATTTATTTGAATAAAACCAAACATGATATATCTTTTTTTTTTTTACCTGCTTTTGTGATCTCAATCTCGACTGTTTTTTCAATTTGTTTAGCATGACGCTTGTTCAAGTCTTTTTGTCCTTTGATGCCTGTTGTAAAGAGAGTATTGACAAAAGTAGTTTTACCGACACCCGATTCACCTTTCACTCTGGTTAGTAGCCAACTTAATCAATCCATTTACTTACCACACACCATCAAGGTGAAATTGGCACCACGTTTAGATACAATCTTGTGTCGTTGATTAGGAAGATGGGCTACACCTACACCACTTGTTGCTGAAGGAGCCATGATAAAGAATAAAAGAGAAAAGAAAGAGAAAAGAAAGTAATTAGAAATTAGAATCTCAGAAATAAATAGTGTAACTCAACCCAACTTCTTTTTGACAATTGACCTCATGCATGTTATCCAATCAAAACGACTCATAAACGAGTTGTTTGTCCTTAATTATCTGTTTATTTTACCATCCTTTCATTTCAGACACAACAGTCTTTTCTCTGTCTTTACTCATTTCACCATATCCAATGACACGCATAGAGAAAGAACCACTCCCGCCTGTCAGACTACGAAGTGCACTGGAATAACCAAGCATAGAACTTAGTGGCACATGTGCTTTGATCACTTGCTTGGGTTGATATCCATCAATATCCTGGTGAACAAGCAGTGAATCCTTGGGTGCATACACTTCTATGGCCTCTGTGCCTGTTTCTTCTTCTATCGATGACTCTAAGCCAATCACATGACCTCGACGTGTACCACTCAAGTCACTCACGACAGTACCAATATGCTTTTCATTGACTTGTGTATACACTTCCATCATAGGTTCTAAGAGACAAGGATCTGCCTTTTGAACAGCTTCATAGACACCATTCGAAACACAGGCTGAAATAGCACCCAAGGTGGATTCTTGACCAAACGTCTGCAGATCATAGGCCTTGATTTTGAGTTTTGTCAGAGGGAAACCCAAAACAGCACCTCGAGCAAGACCAGCCATTAGGCCATTCTGAACAGCTTGCTTAACATCTTCTGGATGGAGTGGTGTGTCTGTGGACGCATCATCATCAAGAGTAACATCAGCAGCCAAATAGTTGCCTGAATCAGCCACCCATCCTTCTTCTAAAGGACTGTCCTCCAAAGGAGACAATGCAATTCGACAAGCAGCTCTTGCTTTTTTACCCAACACGTCTCGATCGTATTCTGAAAAAGCATCAGAGGCTGATTGACATGTTTCTCGATAACTAATGCGCATCTTGCCCATGTCTGCCTTGACTTTAAAGTCATTCAACAAGCGATCCTTGACGATTTCCAAATGAAGTTCACCCATACCACTCACTAAAAGTTGACCACTTTCTTCATCTGTCCATACCTTGAGAGAAGGGTCTTCACGGACAAGGTTCTGAAGTGCATTGTGCACCGCTTCTTCTTCAGAGACAGAAGCAGGCTCCACAGCCGAGAAAAAGGCAGGACTAGGCACATCAATGTTGCCCAACTGAAGTCCCTTTTTAATCGCCTGCGTATCGTTCGATTGAACGAGTGTGTCGCCTGTACGTGTGTCCTTCAGACCCACAATCACACCAATGTTACCTGCATGAATGGAGGGAATTTCCTCAACATCTTTAGCATACATCTGAAGTAGTTTGTTGACTCGTTCTTTTGCTCTTGTGGTGGTATTGAATAATGTCATACGTGTGTTGAGTTTGCCAGAATAGACCTTGACATACACCATAGGACCTCGTCGAGCATCATGAACGACTTTGAAGGCTAATGCGCATAGATGATTGTCATGCAAAGGCACAAGGGCTGTCTTGCCGCTACTGTACGTCACTAAAGCAGAAGGTCGGTCTAAGGGACTTGGGAGATAATCAATCACAGCGTTCAAGAGGGGCTGGACTCCCAAATTCTTAAAGGCAGCACCACACAACACAGGCACAGCCTTGTTTTCGAGCGTCACGCGTCGAATGGCTGCTTGGATAGCCTCAGGCTTTACAAGCATATGATCACCGTCCGCTTCGTCAAAAAAGGCTTCTACAATCGCATCGTCCATGTCAGCCAATGCTTCTACTAAGGCGGTTCTTGCCCTGACAGCTTCATCCATCGCATCTTGATCAACTGTCGATGGATGCAGAGGCACACGTTGAAACACAGATCCGTCCGCATGTTGACTGTCCCATTGGATCAGTTCCATCGTCACAATATCCACCACGGCCTTGAGTCCCTTTGGATCCATGCTCTCGTCATGCATCACAGGTAGTTGAAGTACCAAAGGTCGAGCACGCAGCTTTTTCCAGATCTCACGCACAGTCCTGCCGAATGCAGCACCTGTACGATCCAGTTTGTTGATAAATGCAATACGTGGAATCGAGTACCGATCGGCTTGTTTCCATACGGTTTCTGTCTGAGCTTCCACACCCGCCACACCGTCCAGGATGGTGACGGCGCCGTCCAAGACACGGACAGCACGTTCGACTTCCATGGTGAAATCAACATGACCGGGTGTGTCAATCAAGTTGATGCGATGGCCTTGCCAGCCAAATGTGATGGCGGCACTGTTGATCGTGATGCCTCGTTCTCTTTCTGCTGCAAGGTAGTCCATTACTGTATCTCCATCATCAATGTCTAAGTAGTGATCAACATTGCATCATCTTTTTTTGTTTTTTTTTGTTTTACCTCCAATACGTTTTGTTACACCTGCATAATACAACATACGTTCTGTCGTGGTTGTTTTACCTAGGTAGTAAAGTCAATAAATACCATGCCTTCGGATCTATCTATTTTACCTGCATCGATATGGGCAATAATACCAATATTACGTGTTTTGGGTATAGTGAAATCTCTATCTACAGGATCCAATGTGAACAACGAATAATAGATCGCTTATTTACCAGTGACATAGGTTCTGTAAGCACAAATGCGAGTTGATCTCAATAGAACCGTTGTGCGTTGACACGGATAATGTTTCTGTATCAACCTCAACATAAGAAGAAAAAAAATTAAAAATAGACAGCGTCAGGGGTGTGTGTGTGTGTTTTTATTCTATGTCAAGCATGGTCTAAGACAACATAGTAGATCAGAACTAAAGGTTTCTTCAGAGAATTTATCACAAGCAGATGCTCTTGCATTAGCAGCCATGGCATCATCATGGGTTTCCAAGGCTGCATTTAAACAATCGGCAAACGTGTCTGGCGAATCAGCTAAATAACCTGTGGGTTGACCATCATACTCTGTCACAATGTCGAGTTTAGGTCCACCTGAGTTATGAGCCACAGGGATCAATCCTGCAGCCATGTATTCCACAACACCAATACCGAAATGTTCATTCCACATGGTATGAATACCAATCTTGGCCGTACCTAACGTAGACACAAGGACATCATACGAAGCATTGATTTCAAATCGAACCACATCCTATATAGTTTTGATGAGTGATCAACAATACCAAAAAAAAAAAAGAGAGAGAGCGTCTTACTTGAATCCCCAAATCGATCGCTTCTTGACGAAGACGGTCAATTCGATCTTGATCTCCTTGATTTCGACAACTACCAATCAAGACAAGTTCAACACCCCGTGTTCTCCAAACAGGATATTTCTTGAACAAGGCGGCTAGTGACTTGAGTTGAAGTGCATGGTCTTTTTCAGGTCTGAATTGAGCTACACTCACAATGATAGGTTGACGGCCTTTCAGTGGCAAGCTATTCAATCGTTCTGTATCGCAAGGTGGATAGACAATCTCAGATTTTGTATGCCATAATTGATCGATATGTCCCTTGGTCCAAGTGGAATTCACAATCACCACTTGAGCAAAGGACCCGCAGAACCCATAGATACGGGCAAACAGTCGATAATAGACCCATTTACCTAGACTCCAGACTGGATGAGAGGCGAATCGAGCATCGTTGTTATGGGCTGCTCTTCTTTCGTACACACGATTGACCATGTCTGAACTGATGGTAGGGTAGTGTGTATAGGTGGCAATCTTTGTTTTGCAGAGATAGTGAACAAGAGGATATGTAAATGCATAACCCATGGTATCTGATGAGAAATAAATAAAACGATGCATGTATTCTATATGCAGCTTACCAAAATAGATATCAGGTACTAATTGACTGATGGCTTCATAACCGAGTATGATAGAGGCTAGACTTTGAAGAGCAAGCGTAAAACGAGGATATCTGATTCAATTGTAAGACAACACCTTAGGGGAGGTCATGGCTTACCGAGTATCTTCCACAAGATATCGTTTGTGCAAGTAAATAAAAGCAAGTCTATCAGGATCCATTTCAATATTAAAACTGTTCTAAGCAAGAAAAGAAGATCAATGAAAATACATGGTGCAATGAGGATGGTACCTTGACTTTGGTGATGATGTGTTGTTTGGTAGCATCTAAATCACCTGTATAGACAACACAAATCACATGAGGAAATTCTTTTTGGACATCACGAATAGCTGTCCATAATACACGCTCTCCACCGCCACCCGCATTACTACAATGTAGGTTAGATAGGATTCGCTTATGCATGAACATACCAATAAGGATGAAAAAAGCCTAAAAAGACAGGCTTATTGATACGAGAGGCATGAGGACCAAGATGCTGTAGTAATTGTGCTCGATGTTTTTCAACAGAACTGTTTATATGAAGCCTAGGAAGTGAGAATGCTACCCAGGTAACAACTAGGAAAGCAGTGACCCAGAATGAGACAAACAATAAGAGATCTATCATACAAATGATATTTCAAAAAAAAAAAAGAAAGCGTTTTTAAAGCATTTCTGAGTTTGAATACAAATGAGAAAGATAAACAGTAGCTTTTCAAAAATGCTTGATGTGTGAGTTGAATGATGTAGAAAATACAACATGTTTGATTGTGAAATTATGATTCAAAATGTGATTACTTTTGTTATTGAGATCTTTTTTTTATTGTCATAATTTATAGACAAATAAAAAACATGGATCTAAAATTGTCATTTTCGGCGTTCATTCTGAATATTGAACTACGTCAATAGCTGCATTCTTTCACGTCCAAAAGAAGCTCACGATTTCAGTGGTCAAAAGTACTCTTAGGAAGAATTTTCCATGATTTTAAAAGCCGACCATTTTTGACATGTCTTTTTTTTTTGGTAAAGTAATTCCTGAAGCATTCTATTTGTTATTGAACATAATATGTGTCTATCTGTAGCAATGAGGGGCATACGAAGAGTTTTTGAGCTACTTCTGTATGTTTAGGGAAACACTTATTGTATAGGCTTAGATCCTATAGCAAGACATTCATATATTTGGTAACAACCAAATAGCTTTTGATTCTATTTGGCACACTTAATATGCTTTCGGTCCTCAACGTGTACATTAAACTTATTATACGATCTTGGTTTATAAACTAACTTTCCTAACAACTCGTTTTTGAATAAAATCTATAAGCATAATAGTACCAAAAGTGTATTAGCGACTGTTTTTCAGAATAAACTGTTATTTCTGCCTTTCAATTCTCTTCTTTTGAGTTTCCTATGCTTGAGCATACATAAAAAAAACATATTGATGCAAGTTTTGAAAAAGTTGAAAATTTTCATTTTGCCCTTATGATCCTCTTTATAAATCGTCAGTTTTCAGTATTTTGTGATTTGTGATTGATAGAGACGTTATAGACATAACATAACATGTCTTAGTACGAATTGCTCCTCTAGGTTTATGAAATACACTCAAAGTGTTACATCTGCAAAAGTAATATAAAAAATGTACGCTACAGCTCAAAACCAGAAAATACGTTTTTGAAAGATATATCACTATCTTGATATTTAACATGCTGCGTAATTTACACCATTCAATGCGCCTTATTCATATCTACCAACTCTGTGAATACACTTTTTTGGTAGTTTCTCGTTTTTGGACACTTTTAGTCCATCATTTCTCTTGAATTTTTAGTTTTTGACATGAACATACCAATTTAAACTCAGAATTTCTTTAAGCCAAGTATTAAAGCATGATAAATAAAGTTCTATTTGACAATACCATCCATTCCTATCAAAATATTAAAGCTATTTTAAGTAAGACTATGCTATTCTAATTGTCTTTGAAAACCAAAAAAAAAAAAAAAAAAAAAAAAAAAAAAAAAAACGCTACAGCATTTTCTACAGTATCATTTGAATTATGGTCGCATTGTTCGTTTAGAATGATGAATGAATGATATTTTCTTCTCATTTTTTATGTAAATCAATGATCAGTTTTGGACGAACAGAAAAGCATGATATTCACTCAAGGGGCTGCACCAACCAGAAAGACAAAATTTCATCTGCACCATAGACTCATGAAAGATATGACTTCAAACAGATTTGCATAATGACCCCATGTCTAAGCCACCTTTTAACACTCTTGGAAGTCCTCTCTTTTTTTTTTTCTTCTTTTATTTTAATCATCGCACGATGCCCAAGATTGTTTTTGACGAAGACGCAGAGATCGTCGTACCTGAACCAACAAAGCAACCTGATGTCAATATCCATGAGGCCGAGTCTTCTGATGATGAAGCGCCTGAAGCTATTTCTACTTCCAAAGCAAAAGAAACTTTGATCTCAAAAGCACACGCAGAGAAAGAAGCTGCAGCAAAGTAAGTAATGACCACATGTATCCATATTGACTTGTCATAGAGTGGCTGCAGCTGAGAAAGAAAAGCGTAGACAAAAAGACTTGTTATTAAAGACTCAAAAAGAAGGCAGTAAAAGACAACAAAAGGAATTAGAAAAAAAGAAAGCCAACAAAGAACAAGAAGAGCAACAAAAAGAACCTAATTTACTACCTGACGATTTATTACAACAAGCTCTACAAGAACAAGAAGAAGATAAAAGAAAAAGACACATGACAGCAGAGGATTTCGAGAGAATGATAGCTGAACAAGAAGAAGAAGAGAAAGAACGAGCCAAAAAGAGAAAGACAGTCCATCAAGGCAAACAAGTAGGAGAATATACCGTCAAAGTACTCAATCAACGTCCTAGACTACAAAAAGCCAATAAGGTACTTTTAAATGCTCGTCATCAAACACTGCATCGTAAATCAGTGCCTAGAAAAGAAGCTGTTGTGAATATCAGTAGTGGCAGAGAAGGTGCTGCTTTAGTTTTCCGTCGTAAATAATAAATTCCTTTTGGTGCAACTTTAAAATTAATTATTCTCTCTCTCTCTCTCTTGGCATTTGCTCCCCCCTTTTTTATTTTATTTTATTTTACAAATGACAACGATATTGCCTCCATTGAAAATTGTCTATTATACCACTTGGTTTAATTCTCAAAAATTCAGTAAGTTAGATACATACAAGCCATCACTCACCATATATCTTAGGTGAAGATTTAAAATATGGTCGCGACTGTCCTTTGCCTGAAGGATATGCTATTGATTATAGCAAATCAGATACAGATGCATGGTGTACACTCACAAGTTCTCATGACGATCTAGATACTGCTGCTGGTCTCATGTTCCATGCGGTGGATGCTGTCTCTACACATATGCCTCTGCGTAAGTTAGTATGTTGATGATCCATCATATCAATCAAGAGTATAGATAAGCCCAATCAGCCATGGATATTAGAATCATTAGAGACACCCAATTCAAGCCCCTTTCGAGCAAACACTTATTCCATGAGCCAATATCAGTATTTAGCATCTTATAATTTTAAAGCAGCCTTCTTGTTTTCTTATTTCTCACCTGGTATTATGGATATAGCCAATCGACCTTTGCCCAAGGATTTCATCAAGACCAAGACAAAATCAGCGCCTATTTTATGGATTGCTAGAAATTGCCATGCCACTAATGGAAGAGAGAAATACATTGAGAAATTAATGGAGTATGTGGATGTACATAGTTATGGTTCTTGTTTAAATAATAAGCCATTCCCCGACAATAAGTCTCGTATGGATCTATTGGGCGAATACAAGTTTTATTTGTCTATTGAGAATTCAAACTGTGATGATTATGGTAGTATCTTGATTTGTGTGACACATATACTGACTACTAAATAGCCACTGAAAAACTATTTGATACGATGATGATGTCTTCTGTGCCTATTGTAGATGGCCCACCTACGTATGATGGTTATATACCCAACAATCGCTCTGTGATTTATATGGATGCTTATCCTGATCCCAAGGATTTAGCAGACTATATTCAGTATCTACACAACAATGATACAGCCTATTTAGAATATTTAGCCTATAGAACGCACGCCTTAGACATGGCACCCAAAGATCGATTGGATCCTGACTTTATAAGCAATTGGAGTGATCCTTCTTTCCATCAACAGAGAAGTAACTACTGTGCTGTCTGTCGTGGCATGTTGCCTTGGTGGGCCTATCATTCCGACCCTCATCAGACAGAGACTTACAAAGATCCTGATCAAGAAGACTATGTGCTTGTAGACCAATCGTGTGCTGCCCCTGGTAAATGGAATTATATCTTGGATGGACCTCCTTATCATCCACCATGGACACCTCGACCCAGAGATGAATTTACTCGGCCAGGAACTGTAATACCCGAGACAACCCCATTGCCCGAGGCAACCTCATTGCCCGAGACAGATCACCATTCATCTGTCTTGATAGCCAATCTCTTGTTTGTCTTGTTCTTTTTTATGTTTCTAGGTGTCTTGTTTCGACTGTCCAAGAAAGAATCAAGCCAATTGCCTGTATAAGAAAAAAAAAAAAGAGAGCGAGCGGGGGGTATATCATTTATTATAATAAGACAAAGATTCAATAAAATGTTCAATATCTGCATCATGTATCTGTACAACTGTATGGTCAAAGGAATCAAATGAAATGCGAGCTTTGGTTTTCTCCGCTGCATCACTGAATGCTAAATAAAATGGACTTCAAGGTATTTGAATTAACCTGTTGGATAAAAAGGGTTTGTGACTTACTTTTTACGCACTTCACCAAAAGTAGGTGCTCCTGATAATGCCACCACTAGACAACTATTGTTTTCTTCATCCAGTGAAGTCAACACTAAAGGCAAATTACGTCTCCCATGTTCCTATCGTCTTTTATCAGCACAGTGTCTAGTGTTTGTCTAGACTTACTCGATAAGCATCTGTCAAGAATAACCCCAATTTTGTCAAGGTAGAAGGATGTTGAAATAAAGACAAGTCTTGTCCATGTCGAATATTTACAAATCGAAATGTACGTAACAGTTTGACCATACGTTTATCGATAATATCTGTTCCTTGGCGTACAATGGCTTTTTGTGTCTTCATACATAATCTCAATCCACGCATCAAAGGCTCAGGAGATGGACTACCCAAGGCATCATAAGCAGCATAGAAATTGTGCATCCACCATTGACGTCTTTGACATCCTAAGCCATCCACCGTAGTAGTCTGTTCCTTCATGTCACTTTCTTCTTCTTCTTCTTTTTCTTTTGTACTAAATCCCAATCGAGTGGCTGCTTCAGGACTCGTTTCAATCAGTGTAGAGAGTGCATAGACCACATCACTGGCAGATAGACAACAGGCATACCCATATCCCCTTGTAAAACTAGGGAAACAGATATCTGTTAAGCCATAAAGAGGGGCTACTACTTCAATCTTGTTCTTTAGTGTTTGCTTTAAATCCATGTCCATGTGGGTATATATCTGCTGACATTGCTGTAAAGAAAAGCTAGAGAAAACAGTAAATTACACAAGTAGCAGTGCATATAGCCATCTTTTACCCCATCTTCGCAAACATGTTATTCAGTCGCTTCTTGCCTGCATCTTTCCATATACCCAATTTACTGGATACATAGCCTGAATGATACATACTTTCATACAGACTCCAATGTCGAAATAACATGAATCGATACTCATCTTCTGCTCGAATAACAATGTTGGTCAACTGTTGCATATTGCCATCTTCTGTTCTATCGATATTCAGTCTTGCTCTATCATCTTTAAATAGCTCTAGTTTCTCTGCATAGCGTACTGTATCTATCTTTTCAAACAGGTACTGTGCAGTGACACCCACAATACCCAGCCATAATAATTCATTGGTAGATTTGCCTAATTGATGGGCTAATTCATACATGACACCAGAGACTGAATTCGCATGATAAACGCCTGCTTCATAATAATCCTGAATCAGTTTGTTTTGTTGTCTTTTCTTGTTCCTTAATGCATGTATACTCATGCCTTGATCCTTGAATAGAATGAGTGAGTTGTATTCTACAGGTAAATCCACTTACCAATGTGTCTAGTTTTCTTCTTTGTCTAGGTCTATCACTATCAGAGTCCTCACTATCTTCTTCATCATCATCTTCTGTATTAGTCAATTCTTCATAAGCAGATAACACATCATTCACTCGATGGTTCTCTCCTTCATCATCAAATACACAAATATGATCATTGTCTGAACTCAAGTTTTCCAGCAAGAGAGGACGATGACTGTCAATGATGTATATCTTGGTGCCTTCAGGTGTTGTAAATAGACTGGATATACTCTCCATACCACCACAGTTGATCATCACAATCGACCGTAACTATGACCTGTAGTAAGTCATCATGGGGTCTATTTGTCTATAGTTTACCTCTTGATCTTTTTGAATAAGCTTGATATTGGCATCCACAAGATCTTGATGACCAGAGACAGGTACAATCTTGTGAGGAATAATATCACTTTTAAGAACAGCCTATGCCCGTATAAATACAATGTCAATCATTATAGATTACCTGAAATAATCGAACTGCACAAATAGCATCCACATCAGGTGCAACAAAGATAATACAGTTGCCTTCAACAGAGTCTTGTTTTATATATTCATAGGCTTCATGATACAGTGTATTCGTAATGCGTACCATACTAAGAACGCGTCAAGAAAAATAAACAAAAGAGGAATGAATCAAAAAACGCGTCTTGTTTTTTTTTTCTATGAAATTTTTATTCTTTTTTTGACAGTCCCATGGCCAATGCTTGGTTCATGGCATCTAATCCTTTCCTAAACTCTTGCATGACAAGTTTGTTGGTATGAAGTCCATAAGCATCAAATACTTGTCTCCACCATCGATACCAATCACTGATGTCATCATAGTTGATATGATAGATATCTAAACCAAGCCATTGAACAAGGACTGTGTGCCATCCAACAAAGAATTCATGCTTGAGCAATAATCCTATCATGGTGTCTGACAGCACATCTTTCCATGCTAAACACCATACTAGGGGTTCAATCGATTGATTGCGTGGATCAATCGTGAATTCATGGTGGAGTGTGGAGGTGAGTTTAGGTAAAATATACTTGGTGGTGAATTGTTCTAATTGATCGGGTGTCCATACATCCTTCCAGGGGGCAATGATATGCAGTGCAGATTCATCTGAGGGATGCCACTGACGTAGTACAACAGCCATTTTGTGTCGAATATGAGTGAATAAATCAGCCAATCGCCATGCTTTCAAAAGAGGGAACCAAGGATGAATCCAGGTATGGATCATGATAGGGTCTGTGCGTGGATTCCAATCCGAGACAGCACGGCTTAATTTAGGCAGAATCAATTGGTGAATGATGTTCTCATAGATGAAGCGAGGTAAATAAGGCTCCCATGCTTCCATCAATTGAATCAATGGATCAGGATGGTGTACATCCCATTGATTGTTGATCGCACTACGTACTTTGGATAGCCAGATGGTGTTTAACATGGTTTCAAAGGGTGTACATGTCATCTTTTTCTGTATTCTTGACGTGGATTCTGAATTGCTGATCAAGAGATGACGCCATTGTTTGACATCAGACACGCCTCTGGTTGGATCCTCCAGGACTTGCCAATCCAGACATGCATATTTAAGCACAGGTGCCCACACAGATACCACTAAAGCATCAATATGGAATGTCTTGACGTCAAAATCCCTTGAGAGTATATCAAACTGCTCGCCAAAGAGAGATGTCATATTGCCCTTTTTAAAAGCACCTGTGGCGAGTCCATCTTTACTGATCTGTTCTAATCGTTGAGCTATTGTCTTGAGTTGTTCTATTTTAGCCAATTGTTGTTGTTCTTTCTCCAGATTATGCTGGATGGTATCTAATTCAGTCTGGAGTGATTTCATCCGAAAGGCTGTTGTCTGTTTCTCTCGAGACAAGTTCTCTAGATCCATACGGGCTAAATCAACAATTAAGCTTAAATTATGTCTTAATTCAGGTAAGCGTGTTGTTACTTCCATCAGAGTAGGTGAATCAGTTCGTTTGATGTCTGCTAGATTGATCTCTCGAATACCAGGGCCTGTCATGTCAATCACGCGTTGGGGTAAAGCGATACTCTCTTCTGCTTCTGCCAGAATATCGGCTGCAGTCTTGTAGATTGTTTTTGGTTTGCGTGTCTTTTTTTCTGATGGTGCTGTTGATTTCCATGCATCTCGTTTACTTGGCTTTGGTTTTTCATCTTCTCCTGGTTCTTCTCCTCGGCGCAATTTAGCTTCTTGCTTGGCTTGATCTGTACGTTCATCAAATCCTTTAAAACTTAGGCCCATACGAGCAGGACGTTGCTTGATATCCACAGGATTAACAATACCAGAACCATCAGCACCTAGACCTTGACCACGATTCCAACCCATCTTTTCCAGCATTTTCTGACCAAACCCTTTGGAATGTTTATTGAATTCAGCAAATCCAGGTCCAGGCGAAGGGGATCCTGTTTGACGTGCACGTACTTTTTCTTTCACAGGGTCTTTGACAGGTGTTTGTTTAGCAGTCTGAAAAGAAGGTGCAAGGCCCAATCCACTTAGTCCTTCTTGGCGATCTTCTTCTTCACTACTGCTGTCATGGCTGTTACGGAATCGTTGTCGTTGAAACCCAGAAAACCCAGAGACTTCAGCATCGAGATCGTCTTGCGTAATGTCAAATCGAATTCTTCCTCCTTCTTCATCAGATGAAGAGTTGTCATCCATATAAGTTTTTCTTCGTCCCATTTTTTTTTTATAAAAAAAGAAACAAAGAAAAGCGTTGGATGTGTGAAACCAGCATAGAAAAGCGTGACTGCTCCTAACGCATCCAATACAAAAGAGCATTGAGCGTGTCTCTTTTATCGCCATTGCATATAAAACAGTCGTATGTAGCTATTGACATGAATGTCATCTCAACCTTTTCTTTTATAGGAATTTTTTTTTCATGACTATCAAGACATTGCCTTTTATTTCTGTACAAGCAGACTGGGACCAAGTTGTAAGTGAAGTTGCTTCAAGCACCATTCCCGAGAGTTCCTTTTGGATCGCTTGTTATGTGACAGGTAAAAAGCATCGATGGACAACGTAGCCCCATGTTGATATGTTGATTAGGCAAACCAAGCGTGCAAGGGTCTGTTCAGGTCAAACGAACCGAGCATCAAGTAGTACTTGAAGGACAGGAGGGATTTGAAATAACGAGTTTGAATTCAGTATGTCATTATTTTTACCCAAGACCATCATAACTCATGCATAAATAGCGATCATTCAAAGTCAACTGTGAAGCTCTTAATGTAAAGGATGTTACTGTCTATTGTCCAAAGACAACCCTGGATCCTGCTCAACAACAAGCTGTAGATATCATATACACATAAATTGAAAATGAAGATTGATTGTTCAATAGGTTTCTTGTATGGACGTTTCTCCCAATGGCAACTTGTTTGCTGCAGCCCATGGTACTCAAGTCAGTCTTGGCCAAATAAGCAGTGGACAAGTGCAGGTAAATAACATAGTATGGATGGATGCCTGATGTTAAATACGTGGCTATAGCTTCAATTGACAGGACATGTTGCTGATGTGACAACAGTCCAATTCTTCTCAAGTAACCTTGTTGTCTTGACGGGTGCAGCTGATTTCCAACTGAAGATTTGGTCTGTTCTGAATGGCAGCAACCCTGTTACGCTTAGGGGACACACATCAGCAATCACAAGCACGGCTATTGTTGCACAAGGAAGAAACGTACTTTGTAAGTTATCTCTCTTGTTATACTGATATTGATCCCATCATAAGCTTCTTCAAGTGATGGCACAATCAAACTTTGGAATTGTGGCACTTCATCCATCATTGCCAATATCCATCTGGATACACCTGTCAATAAAATTCTATTAGTGCCACTTCCCTCCAAATATTCACCTGCCGCATTTGAAACATTGGATCCGTTGGAAGTAGAAACAGCGGATAAGCTTGTATTGGCAGCTATGGAGGATGGTAGTGTACGTGGTATCCATTTGGGTACCAAGAAAGAGGTAATTGAGGGCTCCTACCCATATTGAATAGGATAACTGAGTTCTATAGATCTTTGCTACGTCTAAATCAGACAATGCGCTTACTGCCGTTGCTTATCATAACGGTGTACTTGTAACAGGCGATAAACACGGTCTAGTTCAACTATATGTGATGGATCATGGACTTGAACAACCTTGGTTACAATGGAAGCGAAATGGACATACAATCACTTGTCTTGTCATGAAACTGGATGAAAATGGTGAGCAAGTAATGTGTGTTAGTGCAGGTAAACCCTCACCAAAGACTTGAAAGGATATTGTGTGTTCATTTTGTTTAGGTGATGGTAGTGTCTATCAAACCAATGCTCTAGAAAGTATGTTGAAGGAGAAGCATGTTCAAGTGACAACTGAATTCGCAGGCAGTGAATTAGAAACAGTCTATGATATGAAAGTGTTGCCAAGTGATCCATCATCTGGATTCCAACGCCTGATGTGTGCTGTTCGTGATGGAAAGATCAAGATGTATTAAACCATGTCTTATCAGATCTTATGCTGTAAATTACACTTCCGAGAATTAAACGACCGATGTACGCCCCTCCATTTAAATGAGCCTTTTTTTTTTCTTTTTTCTTTTTTTCTTTTTGTTTTTTTTTTTCTCCTTTACATCAATATGACTTCTGAAGGTCATACAAACATCCTGCAAGATGAAGAACAAACCAGTGTGTCCAAATCACCCTTTTCCAAACTAAAAAGATGGTTGAAAAGCTCCAATCCATCGGAACATACACCTCTACTTAACCAGCAACGCATGACGCTCGAACCACCTCGCAAAAGTTCAGCTCGTGTCATTTTCGAGATTGTGACCATTGTAGGTGTGTTTGTGTTGATTTCGGCAGGTATTTTATTTGCCTTTGGTAACCACGACAACCACAATCCATTTCCTACTCGTAAATTAACAGCCGCTGAACAAATGATGCTCGATTTACCTTCGACCAAACGTCTCAAGAGTTATTTAAGACACTATACGTCTGAACCTCATTTAGCTGGTACGCCCGGTGATCAACGTATGGCAGAATGGACGCGTGAAAAAATGAATGAGTTTGGTATTCCAGATACAAAGATCGAGACGTATTGGCCATTATTGAATTATCCTATCTCTCGTCGTCTTGCGCTTGTGTCTGGTCCTGAAGCATTGCGATATGAAGCTAAATTAAAAGAAGATGCAGTCCCTGAGGATGAGTTTACAAAAGATCCTGATACTGTGCCTTTGTTCCACGGTAACACTTTGTACAATGCGAATACATGACTCATTTCTTTTGTTAGGCTATTCTAAAAACGGGACAGCTAAAGGCCCTGTTATCTATGCCAATTATGGTCGCTTAGAAGACTTTCAATTCTTAGTGGACCAAGGTGTTCAAGTCAATGGTACAATTGCGCTTGTGAGATACGGTGATACCATGCGCGGTCTTAAAATCAGAGCTGCTGAACAGTATGGATGTGTGGGTGTCTTGATCTATTCTGACCCTATTTTCGATGGACCGCTGAACAGAGAAAGCAGTACTCATCCTCCTAAATCTTATCCTCAAGGTCCATGGCGCTCTCCTAGTTCTGCTGAACGAGGCTCTGTGTCTTATATTCCTTTGCTCTCAGGTGATCCTTTAACACCTGGCATCCCAGCAACGCAAAATGCCACTCGCCTCAAGATGGAAGAAGTCAATTGTATCCCAAGCATCCCTTCCTTACCTTTGTCTTGGGAAGATGCATTGCCTTTGTTAAAAGCAACGCAAGGTCATGGTGTAGTCAATGAGTTTGATTGGGCTGGCGGTTTAGAAGATGTAGATTATTACAGTGGGCCTTCAGAAGGATTGCTTGAAATGGAAAATATTGTTCAATATAACATTACGCCTATTTGGAATGTCATTGGTCGTATCGAAGGCTCTGTTGAACCTCACCGTGCCATTATTCTGGGTAACCATCGTGATGCATGGGTGTATGGTGCTGTAGATCCATCTTCAGGTTCTACTGCCTTGGTAAGTGGCGTTGTTCATCATGTAAGATACTCATGTCTTGTAGTTGGAAGTGGCTCGTATCTTGGGCCAAATGTTGCAAACTGGATGGAGACCAAGACGCACGATCATTCTTGCCTCTTGGGATGCTGAAGAGTACGCCTTGATTGGTTCAACAGAATGGGTAGAAGACAACAAAGACTGGCTTTCCAAAGAAGCTGCTGTCTATCTCAACTGCGATAGTGGTGTCTCCGGTCCTTATTTCTTTCCCTCTGCTACTCCTTCACTGAACCAACTCTTGTATGAAGTTACCAGCATGGTCACAGACCCTACTACCGGCAAATCTGTCTATGAAGCCTGGGCCAATATTCACAACACCACAGGTGTTCCGTCTGCCCAACCTCCTGTAGGCGTCCTAGGGTCTGGTTCTGACTTTACTGCTTTTCTTGATCACCTTGGTATTGCTAGTTTGGATGTTGGTTTTGCGGGTGATTATGGCGTGTATCATAGTGTGTATGATAACTTTAACTTTATGCAAAAATTCGGTGATCCTACGTTTGAATACCACCAGACCTTGACAAAACTACTGGGTTTATTGACCCTTCGTTTAGCAGATGATTTGATCTTGCCCATGCACCCTGTAGATTATGCGCATACGCTTCAGAAACACGTTCATCAGCTCTACACTTACACTGCTCCTCATACGTTTCCCTCGCTCAAAAAAGCTGTCAATTCACTTGTCAAAGAAGCCGTCAATTTTGAAGAAAGTCTAAAGCAAATTCAAAACAAATTGAGACGTTTTGTGGATGGAGAGAATGGCGATCAAAAGCTTTCTGCCAAATGGAGCAAACGCGTTGAGAAAATGAATGAACGACTCACTACGTTTGAACGTGGCCTGATTGATGGAGAAGGCATCAAGGGCCGTGAATGGTACAAACATGTTGTTTATGCTCCTGGCCTCTGGACGGGTTATACTAGCCAAGTTTTCCCTGCCATTGCAGAAGCTTATGATGCTAAAGACTTGCATCAAGCACGTCATGCAGAAAACAGAGCAGCCAAGTCTGTTCAAAAGGCACAGGCTGCCCTTCTTCAATAAGCATATTAAATATAATGTATTTCATATATGATTAATGTCTCTAGCAAAACCTATTTGTTTCATGATTTGGTCCTGCAAATCCCATATCTCTTCAGACATGTCTATGTCTCGGTCTGGATCATCTTGCCAGTGTGAGATAAGGTTGATAGCCATATGATCTTGTAATGGGTCTTGCTGAGATGCCTGTGTTGTGTTTAAACGAAGGGGATGATACACAGGCTGTGGAAAAGTGACAGAGTCTTCAGTTTCCAAGTGTTCACAACTATCATTTAAGCTATCGCTTATTGTTTTTTTGGGTTGACTTGACTTATCTCTCTTGGCTGATCCGCGAAGAGGCTTTAGACTTAGAGGTTTGTATTGTGATCGAGGTCGCGGTGACAACTGTACAGGAAATGCCTCTGTAGGAGGATTCAAGGCGCTTTCTCTACTCTTGTATTGTTCTTGCATCGTATCTTGTAGCGTTGATTGATCTTGTTGAATACTACCTGAATCTTTAGATACAAGGTCCTCATGGTCCGTATGAAAAAGCGATGATGTTGTACTTGTTTGCTTGGATATTTTACTCCAACTAAACGACAAGGATCTTCCAGGATGAATGATTTTTTTATGAGGTAGTCCAGGTGATTCAAGAGACGGATCGGACGATAGTCGGGTATGTTGCAGATGTAAACTAGCCATATTCACAGAAGAAGTACGTCGAAGAGGATGCGTTACCAGAGGCTGATCTGCAGTTACACTAGTTGTTCTTCTTAAACTAGATGGGCTTTTACTCAAGGACCGTTGTTGTGGCGTCAGATCAAAGTCAGCCGAAAACAAAGATGGAGGCGATATGCTTTTCTCTTGTTTATCAAAAGACGTCAATGGAGAGCCTTGAAAGTGGGATGGTTTGTTTATCGGATCAGAAAACACATCTGGTTGTGTGTTGCGCTTGACACTTTCGCTTTTGTCTTTGGACGTTGCTTTCTCAAGAGGCTTGACTCTAAAGACGTGGACAAGTAGCCAATGCATCAATTTAGCCAAGAAGGGATACTTGAATGGCTCTAATGTTTCTATGCTTTCGACTTGTTTTGTATGACCATGGTGTTGAAAGACGTCCTCATGCTTCACTGTTTTTGAGCGCGATAGAATAAAAGCGTCGTTCATGGACCGCATAGGAACAGACGTGAATTTACTCTTCGTAAGCGACCGGTTGTCTTCAACAGGTTGGTTGGGTAAGAATTGATGACCATCTTTTGTAGTCGCACTGATGATACTGTAACGTTTTTCATGCAAGGGTGCGTCAAGGATAGGTTCACCATGCACAATCTGTAGTTTCATGAGAGGTGTTTCAGGTACTTTGCTGTTTTCTTGACTGTCTTGACTAAAAAAGCGATGATGTGCTTCTTTCACAAATTCAGGTGTGGTGTTTAAATCATACGACAGACTTGCAATTTTGACAGTTGCTGGAAGCTGTTGTGTAGCAGTAGAACAGTAGCGCACACAATAATAATTGTAAACATACTGATGCTTAAGGTATTCTATGCCCTCTCTAAAGATGGCATTGATAGCAGGGTCTGTGAAATAGATACAGCTCACCATGAATCCTAAACAGCTTACGTTATCTGAAGCTCTGTTATTAAATGCTTACCTAATAGACAGGAAAATAAACGATCCAAGACGAAAATGATGTAAGGAATTTGATTATCTTGTGATGCTGCAATTTCTATGCCTACACCCCATGATTTAGAGAAAAGAGGCACTTTGAATAAAGTTAGATATCGATCCTATCTGTCATCTTTTGCTTGTTTTACCTAAAGGATAACATACGCATCGTCTAGCAATTTTCCGAAACACATCTGTATTTCTATTGGAGTATTTTCTGATGATAGCCATGGCTGAAATGTCTTTTTTATCTCTTTTAGAAAACATATCCAATGCACCCGTAAAATTAGCTTGTCTTTTTACTACAAATCGTATTGAGATAGCAGCACATAATGCTGCAAACACCAAGGAAAAAAGAAGGCAGCCATAATACCACATCTAATGATGAACATCAATGTCATCATACTGAGCAATTTTAAACGTACCCAATTAAATATGTTGAACATACGGCCTTCAAAGTAATAATGATACCTAACAGAGAAAAAAATCATTAGATAATATTCTTCAATTTTTTTTTTTTTTTTTTTTTTTTTTGCTTACCAACAGGATGTCTCTATTCTTTTGTTTTTCGGCCCCTTGGATGTACCTATTGTCATGGGCACCACACTCACAATGACACCAGACAAAGCTACAATCATGTAATACAAAATCTCAATTTTGATCGACCTTGATGTCTTGAGTACAAAAATCATTACCAAATTAAGCCCCACCATAGCCAAACACATACATGCCATGGTATCTGACACGGTTGTGACATAGGCAAGGGCACGACACGAATAAGACAGGCTAGATATTCTATCGGTAACCAATTGAGAAGCACAGTAAAGCATGTTGCATATGCACGAAGCGACAATCATGCGTAATGATAGTCTATTGACAATCACAGGTCGATACCAACTCATGAATCCATGGACAATCAAAACACATGAGTTGGCCGCAAATGATATAGCAGCAGCAACAAGTCCAGCGCTTGAAATACCTATCCATTCTTGACTACTAAACTTCCACCGAGGATTCGTTGGATTTGAATATTCACCATTATACAACATTGTCCTTTTTTTTTTATTGTATTATTCTTACGTATACATAATCCTTTCTTGATGAGAGAAAAAAGAGAGAGAAAAAAGGAAAATTAAATTCAATTCCAAACTTTAATGCAGGTTTTATGCAGTCAAGATCCGAGAGCGCTTTCATTGGCATAAGAGAAAAAAAGAATTACAATGCTTTACTTTGATTTATAGATAATCTTTTTTATGTAATGAAGGACTTGATAGTATTGAGTATCATAAAATAGAATGTCTTTTTTTTTTAAAAAAAAAAACTGGGCATTTTTACAGGTGAAGAAAATAGGTTGGGTCAATAAAAGAAAATTTGGGCCAGCCAAAAAAAAATTGGCCTGACAAAGATAAAATTGGGTCACTTTTCTAAAAGTGGGTCACTCTTTTCAAAGACGGTGGGACAGGGAAAAAGAATCTTTGTTGTCATACTTCAATGATTTGTTTTATTAGCATTAAATCAGAGGCTTTATTCTGGTTGCCGTTGTTCTTTTTGCTTTTTTTATTATAACATGAGCATCACTGACAGCGAAGTAGTTCCTATTATTGTCCAATCATACATGGATTGGGAACGACCTGCAGCCACAGCAGCAGAAGAGAAACTGAAAAAACAAAAAGAGGTCAACAGGAAAGAAGCCCCATTAGGCGCTTCAGAACAAAGGGGTCCCTACGTAACAAAAAAAACGAACCTAAAGTCGTGAACCTAATTAATTTGATGCAAGAATTTGAGCATATGTTTATAAGAGAAGCGGCCTCAAAAGTTGGGTTGGCAAAGTCAACAGCCATACGCAAAATCAAAGAATGGAACAAACTGACAAATAGCTCTAACCAAGGAGTTTTTCCTGATACCATCAACAAAAAGGAGCACAAAGGCCGAAAGGTTATTCTTCAGGATGTGCATACTGTGTTTATTTTCGAGTTACTAATTAACGAGCCAACCTTGACAGTAGAAGCTATTACTGATCAGCTTTGCGCGACTTTCAAGGACATTCAGATTACTCCAAGATCAGTAGCAACTCATATGAAAAATAAATGCCGTCTCACTTATAAACGTATTGTGCCACAGTACTTCGCACGGGACAGTGAAGAAACTATTGTTAAAAGATACAACGAAGTCAACTCTTGGATTTCCCAAAAATTAGATTTTTTTAATGATTGCGTATTCCTTGACGAAGCTGGATTCAACAGGAATATGCATCGATCATATGGCTGGAGTGAAGTAGGAACTCTCTGTAAAATTAAAGTTGAAACAAAGGGACCAAATGTGACCATACTAGATGCTAATTCTAAAGACAGTATCATCACTCTTTCGCGAAAGGAAATCATTACTGTAGCTGCAGCTGGGAAAAGGCAGCGATTAGATGACACTCCAGTTGTAAAGAAAAAAGGAACAACTGGTAATGATTTTTTAGAATTTGTAGAACAAGTCCTCACCACAATTGATACGGTCGGCATGAGCTACAAATATTTGGTGCTTGATAATGCGTCTATCCATAAGTCAAATCTGGTTAAGGATTGGGTAGGACAACGAGGATATCAGCTAGTCTTTTTGCCACCATACTCTCCGTTTTTAAACCCTATTGAGAAGCTTTGGTCAAAGCTAAAAAGCGTCGTAAACAGCGATCCGTCTTCAGTTAGACAAAATTTAAAGATCAGTGAACGTATCCGGGACGCATCTGTGCATATCAGCAAAGAAGACTGTCAAAGTTGGATAAATCGTTCTTTATCGTTCTGACAAAGGTGTCTAAATTGTGAAAAAGGATTATAAAAACTGACATTATATTTTGATTTAATAAAGAAAAGATCTTCATTTTTCCTGTCCCACCGTCTTTGAAAAGAGTGACCCATTTTCAGAAAAGTGACCCGTTTTCAAAAAAGTGACCCAGTTTATTAGTGACCCAACCTATTTTCTTCACCTGTATTCCATGGTTGCGTTGCGAACTCAGCAGCAGTAGAAACTCTTTTTTTTTTTCAAGTGGATATTAATGCACGGCTTTGTTTTATTTTTAATGCAAATGTTTCTTATCTACACTTATCAAGTCATCAATAGTAGGCCATGGCAGTATTTATGCAGCCTTGCTTTTTTCTTTAGTTCCATGATAAAAACTTGCATAGATACGCCTAAGATTGCTCAAGTCGTTGTAAGCATTGTTGATGTATCTGGATTCACTGACTATTGTTGAGATACTGATTTTGGACACATGGACGAAAAAATCGCATAAAAAGCTACTTCAGTGTCTTTATTGAAACTACAGCTTTCAACTTCTTTTTTTTTCTCATCCATGCTAGTCTTGGCATAGAGCGTGTCTATAGTACAGATCCTTGTCACTCGCAGAGCCAGGCTTGCACTCATTAAAGCGGTTAGGTATATTTGTAGACCTTATCTTGATGGGCCATATGGCTTCGTTGATTTTTTTATTCTCATAACTTTATTCAAAGGTGGTTGATACCAAATGCCAGCTGAAGCTCAGAAGGCTGTTATGGAAAGTTTAATGATGTACGAAAAAAACCAAGACAAGCGGATTTTATTTCAATCACTGGCATCAATGAATCGAAGCTGCAAGAGTGATGCGTTTTTGAAACAATTGTCGGTTTGTAAGTGGTAACGTTCATTGGGAAAATGAACGTAAGCTTAATATAGGGTATTAGAACTGAACACTTTTTGACACGAACCCCCCCCCCCAAAAAAAAAAATGCAAGTACGAGCTAGTCTTATCCATAATCTTGTCAAGCCAATGTATAAGCTAGATGCTCACTGTAGTAACATTGAAAACAACCTTGGTAACACAAGAACCGATTACCTTGTAAACGCATGGCAAGATAGAGTCTACAAATATACCTAACCGCTTTAATGAGTGCAAGCCTGGCTCTGCGAGTGACAAGGATCTGTACTATAGACACGCTCTATGCCAAGACTAGCATGGATGAGAAAAAAAAAGAAGTTGAAAGCTGTAGTTTCAATAAAGACACTGAAGTAGCTTTTAAGGATAGATGAATACAAGACCTCTCATATCCGTACGGATTCTTTTTATAGCTTATCTTATGCCAAATGACACAATGTAGATGTTTATAATACACTGTGATGTTAATACTACCAAGAACTGATCTTATTGTCTCGCCTTAATCTGTAATCAAAAACCTAAAATGAGATTCGCTGCGTTTGAACCATTTGTGCAACTGTTCAGAGAGCCATGACTATACTATTGAGCTAGTTGGATGAGTACGGTACAGACCTTCAGAAGCTTACCATTATTTACAGCTTCTACTGCTTTTATAAAACGATCAAAGATATTGTTGAACAGATCTTTAGTTTACTGTTGCCAGATAAAACAACTCCTTTATTGGCTGGCCCTTGTTACACTGAGTATACGCTTCTTGTAACTCTTTTTTCCTCGAAAAAAAAAAAACTTTGTTGTTCTTTTATTAACAATATGAGTGTAGAGGCAGGAAAGAAACCTATTAGGTAATATGTACTTTCATAAATGCACTGTAATCTAATGTAATGTCTAGAGTTTGGGTCGATGGTTGCTTTGATATGATGCATTATGGTCATGCCAATGCTTTGAGACAGGTACCTTTTTTTTTGTGTGTGTAAAAGCCTTTGTCACTAAATGCGCGTTTGATGTGTTAGGCCAAAGCTATGGGTGACATCTTGGTAGTAGGTGTCCATAATGATGCTGATATTGAAAAGAACAAAGGCCCCACTGTGATGAAAGAACAAGAAAGGTACACGATCTCATCATTTCACAAAACTAATGACTTATTAGATATGCAGCTGTAGCAGCTTGTAAATGGGCTGATGAAGTTGTTCCTAATGCTCCTTACAACACAACAGTCGATATTTTAAAGGAATACAATATTGATTTCTGTGTTCATGGTGATGACATTACAACCATGGCCGATGGCACTGATTGTTACCAAGCTGTCAAAGATGCCGGTCTGTATCGTGAATGCAAGCGTACAGAAGGTGTGTCTACAACAGAATTAGTGGGACGTATGCTTTTGATGACCCGGGATCATCATAAACGTAGACCCTCCAATACAGCTGCTCCTTCCATCATATCCACCATTGATACCAGTGTCTTGGCTCCCTTTAGTGCCAATGGATCCAATTTAGCTACTGTTTCTCATTTCTTGCCTACTTCCCGCCGTATTGTTCAGTTCTCTGAAGGACGTGAACCTAAACCTACAGACCGTGTTGTCTATGTGGATGGTACGTTTGATTTGTTCCATATTGGTCATATTGAATTCTTGAAGCGCGCTAAAGAACTTGGTGACTTTTTGATTGTGGGAATCCATGATGATCAGACAGTGAATGCTATCAAAGGATCCAATTATCCTTTGATGAATTTGCATGAACGTGCCTTGAGTGTATTGGCATGTCGTTATGTGGATGAAGTGATTATTGGTGCACCTTATAGTGTCACTAAAGAGATTTTGAATGGTGAGTACAATGTGTCTGTGGTGGCTCATGGCAAGACACATTTGGAGCAAGATATGGATGGAAAAGATCCTTATGAATTGCCTAAAAAGCTGGGTCTGTATCAAGAAATTGCTACTCCTAATTCAACCATTACCACAGAAGGAATTATTAACCGTATTATCGAGAACCGTAAAATGTAAGTGAATATATCTCTTCATACTTTATTGATGGTTGAAATAGGTTTGAAGAAAGACAAAAGAGAAAGAATGCAAAAGCTGCTTTAGAACGTCAAAAGGAAGCTGAAGAAAAGCTTGCTAAATAAATAAATAAAAAAGTTTGTAATACAATACAAAACAAGGAAAAAACAGGCGCAACGTGTCTTTTTCTTTTCTTTTAATCTATGATGATTGTGACATATTTTATCGTCAATAAGCTAGGGACAGTGATATACCAGTCAAGGCAGTCAAACAGTCTTACAAATACTACAGAGAGTCATAGAATACGTTATCTTCCACTTCTTGTCATTAAAGATCTGATCAAGGCTAACTTGAATGACATTCTGGACCATATAAGAATAGGAAACAAGACAGTGGTCTTTAGGGAGGTAAGCATACAAAATCCCTTGCTCTGAAACAACCACTGACAGAGTACATAGCAACAAAATTTGATGTATATTGCCTGTACAAACAAGAAGCGTGTTCCTGTTTCTTTATTACAACTTCACTTGAGAGTGATGCATCATTTTATCAAATTTCATTATGGTCCTCATTGGTCTTTACAGCTTGAAGGAAATAGTAGTTCTCGTCGAATAAGCATTAGTTTGTCTGACATCAGTGCATGTCTAGCTCAATTACCGTTTATTTATCAGAAATTATCGACAAGATCAAGTGATTGTCTATGCCTGAGTGAACAAGTCCAAGTCAGTGAGGATTTACGCTCTCGACTGACTGAGAACATGATACAGTGTTGCAATACAGCCTTTGTACATCATTACCATAAAAACCACTTTTTTTCATCCCCTACTATGCATTCTATAGATCAGCATGAATCTTCCACTGCTACTTGGTCTTGTTGCTTTCTATTTGCTCGAGAAAAGTTAGTTGCCCAAAGTTCAAAAGACTTACCAGACGAGTTTGTTTATTTTTGCAAGTTAATGGTGACACAGTATTTACAAGAAAAGCATGAATCAGGTAAGATTTCAACAATATTCTTAATTTAATTTGCTTGTTCAGGCATCCATCAAACAAGAACAACCACTTTACCCCAAGATATATCCCCCTCTAGATCAACAACTACCCTCAATCATACTTCATCCCCTTCTTCATCTAAATCTGAGGCATCCAGCATCCAATCTTCACTTGCATATGTCTATGACGCCAACTCAAATACGGCTCCATTTAAAATACGAGAGAAATCAGCTTCTTCTGTTACTGTTGTCTCATCTGATTCTTCTATCTCTTACTGGAGTACACCCTTAGTACACACCATCAAAACACCACAGCGTGTTCCCTCCAATGTCCTTAAACCACACCATCAATTGCATCCCTCCATGATTTCTGATATCCTCAATATGGACGAACCTTATACCTCTTTCTTATCCAGCAGTGTTCCTTCTCAAGTAACACCCATTTCACCCAAGAGCCCTACTTTGATCTCTTCAGCACCTTCTTCACCTACTCATAGTCGATCTCGGTCTATAAGTTTGTCTCAGGAAGACTTTTCCTTGAAACATTTGTTGACTAACTTGATCAAAGGAGAAACAAGTTATTTAGACCAAACAGAAGATGTTAAACTTGTTCGAAGATGGGTCAAACTAGATGGACATGTCTATTTAGCTAATTTTATCCTTGTACTTATACACCAAGAACTGTGTGCGATTGTTGTCTGTAAAGATGATCCTGAGCGGGTAAAATAACCAAGTAGACATTCTGAACTCATCATTCATCTATAGATATCGTACTCAAATACAAAACTACATTCAAAAAATGTATGGAAACCCATGTCAACTCAAGTCAAGCGATTCAAGTCTAGTTTAAGGTCTTGTCTAAAAGACTTTAGTAGTTTTTTATTGACCAAAGAAGCCACGCATTTTACGAATCTATCGTTTGCTACGACGTATCCTGGCCTGGTCCATTTCTGTCATTTTGACAAGGGGATTATGACCAGTCCTTCTGTTGTTGATCTTAATGAGTTGGATAAAAATCATGAATTATTACATGAAGTCTATAGTAGATATAATACAGACAGATGTCCATGGGTGTGGCCTAATGAACCCACACTTAAAAAACTGGTAACTATCTATGTACAAATCATTTTCACTTATGTCTTTATTCAGTGCAATGATATGTTACGATTAGGTCTTTGTTATCGAGACAGAAAGGATCGCATGTCACAAGCATCAAAAGACCATGAATTCTATTTTTTATATCAACAGGAACAAGATAGAGAACTATTTGCTATTTATTTTAGCATGGTTCCTCCAGATAGACTATGGTGTATGCATCAAAAACTATTTCAAGACATAAATCAACGTGTATAAAATCGTTTATTCTCTAGAAGCGAATGTCAAGTTGGTTGGTAAACTGTCCTTGTTGGACAAGAAATAATCTTCAATAGTAGAATGAGTTTGTACTTGAGTATGCTTGAAGAATTCCAAAACATGGCCTGTTGTTTCTAATTGACTTAATTGATAGTTGGGGACTTCTTTACCGGTTTGTTTGATGCTTTCCTTGAGAATCTATCAATTCATAAGTAATCACTTTCTATTGACTTAGTATTATTTACTTGGAATTTAATGTGTGAGTCTTCAAAAGGTAATTCCTTCCAGTTTGTTTCATTGGCGTTTTGCAAGTGCTGTAAGATCACAGACTTCAATGTAGATTCGATCTCTTGTTCATTGGTCAATACATCAGATCGTTTCCAGCTATTGGACATCAGTAAATAAGTCATACATATGTTTTAAATAGTTACGAGGTGATTTCTTCTGCTTCTTCATATTTGACATCAAAAGTGACAGGAGCCACTACTTCTTCATTAGTGTGTTGAGCAGGGGTAACTGTCTGAGGTTGTTCTTTCTTTGCCCAAGGATTGAGTTTGCCAAATAAACCATCACTCTCTGCCAATACAGCAGGAGTTGTATGAATATATCTTTTGTTGGTTAAACTGAGAAGACGTCTACAGACAAGCATGGCTCAAGAGAGAGAAAAAAAAAGAGGGAAGAAGAAAAATGAGAAGGGTCTCTTTTTTTTTATATAGTGTGACTGGCTCCTTCATTGGATGAACTTGTTTTTTTCTCTTTCTTTCTTTCTATTTTGTTTATTATGGCAGAAAAAAGACAAGCCGGTCCTTCCAGTGGTGGTGCACTTATCAAACGTGCTAAACAAGACAATGAAGATAACAGTCAGTCTCTCATCAACTTGTCTGATCAGCGATCGGGTACAAAGAATGCTATTGTTGGAACAGTACGCGCGTTTATTTTATGTTGTATCCATATCAACTCACTGCTTTTTTTTTTCTTTATTAGATTAGGCGTACATCTTCATTAGAAGCACCTGTGATGCAATTAACAGGACATGGTGTAAGTATACTTGTGAACATATCATGTTTATTTATTTCTTTTAGGGTGAAATTTATTCTTGTCAATTCGACCCTTCTGGAGAATACATTGCTAGTGCTGGATTTGATAGACAGATTTGTATGTATACAACAACAATAACAACAACAACAACAACAACAACTAACATTCATTGTAGTATTATGGAATACATATGGAGAAGTCAAGAACTATGGTATATTAAAAGGCCATTCCAATGCCATCATGGAAATACACTGGTCTCGAGACTCGAGTCAAATCTTTAGTTGTTCAGCCGATAAGACAGTAGGCATTTTTGATGCAAAGACAGGCGAACGTATACGTCGATGGAGAGGACACAGCAACATTGTCAACAGTTGTCAAGTGGCTCGTCGTGGACCTGAACTCGTTGTCTCAGGCAGTGATGACCGTACGATCAAAATATGGGATCACCGTACAAAAGAAGCTGTCCATTCATTTGATGATGATTACCAAGTGACAAGTGTCTGCTTTAGTGATGCTGGTGATATGGTATATACAGGTGGTCTCGATAACCACATCAAGGCATGGGATGTACGTAAGAACCAAGTCGCCTATACCATGGAAGGCCATGCTGATACAGTATCTGGTATGGCATTGAGTCCTGATGGTGCACACTTGTTGACCAATGCGATGGATAACACAGTCCGTATTTGGGACATCAAGCCATTTGCCCCAGCTGATCGTTGCTTAAAGATATTTGAAGGGGCTCCTCATGGTTATGAAAAGAACTTGATTCGTCCCTGTTGGGCTACAGATGGAAGTCAAATCGCCTGTGGTTCAGCTGATAGAACAGCTGTGATTTGGCAAGTAGAAAGTAGAAAGATTCTGTATAAATTGCCTGGTCATAAGGGTTGCGTGAACGATGTTGACTGGCATCCTAAGGAACCTATTATTATGAGTGCAAGTACAGACAAGACACTCTTTTTAGGTGAAGTTAAGCCTACCAAATTGTAATTTATCATAAAGCAATGTTCTCTTTTTTTTCTCTCTCTCTCTTTTTTATCTTTCAAATAAGTTGCATGAAGCAGATACGTGTTTATAACAAAATGAATGAAACGGATTGTGGCTTTTATGTAGAACATTGACATAGAAGCAAAGTCTCTATTTATTTCAAAAGTATCGACACACACACAAAGAATGGTCTATTTCGAAGATTGAAAATAAAAATAACTCCAATTACTTCCTATCACATCAAAAAATGAAGCTTTTGCTGAAAACTACATAAAGACGCAGTTTTGGGGTTTGGTGTAGTGACAAAAGTTGTAGATATTTGCTTTCTAGTTCTATTGATGTAGAGAACACAACAACTTTGCTAAAATGTCGAGAAAATACACAAAAATGTCTATGATGTTTTCTGCTCATATCTCGTCATTCTCCTTGTACAATTGGTAGACAAACACATTTACCAAAAAATATAGCCTCCGGCGCTCATTTTGAGTGTTTAAGCTTGTCGATGGCTCCATTTTTCGTCTTGTAGCATCCAGAAGATCAAGAGCTGTCAGGTTTTTTCTTTAAAAAAAAAGTGTTTTATGACTAGTACCCTTTGGTCGAAAGGCATACTTTAGTCAAATTTTACATGTCGCTTTCTTTTTTAATTTCAAATGTACCATGGATATTAGCAAACATGATTTGTAAGTACTTAAAGCTATTCAAAGCTGTATTTCTTTCAGTCCAGTGGTGAGACTCTCAAATACTTTGTAGTTTTTCTCAAATAATTTCTCTTCATGCTGCTCTTGCAAAGGGCTTTTAAAAAGTTTATTGCTTTGTACATCTCTGCGAATAAGAGGTATTGATCACAAGGAGCAGTCTATAGTCGAAATCAATAACATGCCTTCGCAGATCAAAACAAGTTTATCTGTGTATTGTTTCAGTAGATCAAACATGTACCATTACTGTCGCATAGTCTTCTATATGCTGGAGGCTAGTGATCCAGTAGTTGTAAGACGAAGAGAACTACTTTTGTATACATGTGTTGGTTTTGGGAAATAAAAGATTTGGGATAAATAATGAACACAAAAGAAAGAAATCGATATGTCAAATGCATTTTATCAGTTGACCGCATTTATATGCATTTAATAAATGTGTAATAAACAAGGACCTAAAGTATGTTTGTACATAAAGAAAAGCTTTTACGGATCGAAGCGAACAGAGTGTTCCTTTCTCTAACTGCACAACTGCCATGATATTGCTCTCTGCACATTCATCTTTGCTGCTGTCAGTTGTAACTCCTTTAGAGTAATTTTGTTGTCAGATGTGGGTCCTGTTTCCTCTTTGATGGACACAACATTTTGCTTTGAGAACATATGATTTTTTGGTAACAATTTCCAAAATTGTCTTATGAGCTTGTTGACCCTGAAAAGTTTGTAAAGTACCATACTATATAGCTCTAATCAAAATTATGTCGTAATTTGGCACGCTGATCTAATGAACTAAAGCAAAATCAAAGCCAATAAACCCCACTTAATTACGACCCATTTTTTGAATAAAGTGAACGGACTTTTTTAATCTATTCACTAAATTACTTAAAAGGAATGACGTCGTATTATAGCTTCCTTACTAAAAAATCAACTAAGGTTCATTATGATCAAAGCTATATTTTTGCTAATATATTTTACAACAATATGTATTTGTTTCCGCATCATAGCAGTTTTTTTTTTGTACTTCCTTGTTTAATAAGACAACAATGTACTGAGTTTTAAGTAGGAGGAAAAAAAATAAAAGAAAGATGCATTTTCCAAAGCCCATAGTCAACGGAAACAAACCGAGAGAATTTATGTTTCGGGGGAAACTATTGTTTCACTTGTCATAGACATTCATCTACGTTCAAAAGTGTTACGAACAGGACTCCGCCAACATAAAGCGACAGCAACTTGTTTATACACACTTGATATATGGCGCTTTTTTTTTGTGTAATCTGGCTAAACTTAATGTTGTTTTGGCCGAGAAACATAAAAGATCCTCTTTACAATTAAACTTTTTTTTTTCACTCAGATCGAGAAATTGACTTTTAAATGGTTGGTCCCTGACAACTTAGTTAACATGCTAATGGTCATCTATCTAGGTTATGTAAGCAAGAAAAAAAAAGGAGAAGTTGGTTTCAATACATGGTTCGTTCTGTTCATGTGTCTAGGAAAGGGTAATGCGGAGCAAATCATACAATACAAAATTACGAGTTACACTTTATATAAAATCACAAGACTTTCTAGGTTTAAATAAGGCTATTCTCCGCTTTTTTATAGATAAATGACAAAGATAGAACGTGATTATATACGTCTATAAAAAATAAATAAATTTGGTATAGTCAAGGACTATTCTTTTTTTTTTTTCTTTTTCTTTTTTCTTTTTTTATTATGTATTCACCTGTGTTAACACCAGTTGAAAATCCACGGCTTAATATGGACTATCCGCCTACAATAAACGATAAAGAATTATTTCGATTGTCTATCACTTCTCAATCTTCTGGTACAACAACCACTGCCAGTACCTCAAGCCAACGACTCAGTGTGGCAAGCAATGAAGAAGAACCAACACATATCGCCTTCAGTAAGTAGAAAGAAAAAACTTGCATATATACTGATGGATTTTGATAGATATTTCCAATAGTAATCATAGTTTAGCCGGAACAACATCACTTTCACCATCTTCTCGTTATTTGTTGTCTGGCTTTTCAACTTCGGAAAACCTAAGGAATAAGGTTTTAAGTCGATTTTATCCTTCTTCTTCCTCCTGTTCGTCACCCAATCGTCATCAAAAATCACTCTCAGATCCTTCTATTTCAATTTCTTCTTTGGACTCCTCCACCGAGTCACCGATTGAACCATGGTGCATGTCTGCAAAGACAGCCATAGAAACATGTATTTTATCAGCCTGGATGAACAAATACGAACAACCTGTCTTTGCTTTTTCCCGATCCTGGAAACAAAGACTGTTTGTACTTGTAGACCGTATCGTGTTTGTCTTCAAGAGCAACAAACCCACCAACCCAGCACGCGATTATTTTGTCCTGACAGAAGATACGTTTGTGTTTGTCACAGAACAGTTTAAGAAAGGCTATGTGATCGAATTGCAAAAACCACTCTCTAAATGGTATATCCGATGTGACTCGATTGACCAGCTCAAAGAATGGCTCGAGGCCATGAAGAAAATCGTAGCCTGTATTAAGATTGGCTACGATGGACGTCTGAATGGTTCGATTCTGAAATCCATTACACTTACAGATGATTATCGAATTCTAATACCTTCTCATGTGGTCGCTGTGAATATCAAGAAATCTTATCGCCAAAGTCTGCCTGTGACGACAAATGAACTTGTGCGTAAACTTTCTATTATCCAACCCAAACGAAAACAAAAGCGACAATCATTAGCAGAAATACCAGACTGGGAATCAACTCTTCCTCCTCAACTTCCTCCGCCTACTTCGAAACCACCACCTGTACCACTTGGTTATTCATCATCTACATCAACAACAAACAACAATGACTTGCCTACTGTTTCCGAAAACGATTAACTATTTTGTACACTTTTTCCATATTTTGTTATCCCCCCAAACAACATGACATACACATATACAGCATTATATATATATTTATTATTACCTAATTTTCATATCTATAAGCATACTTCATTATTTTTTGTATATTTCTCTCTTTTACCCCTTCCCCCAGATTTTTTTTTTTGTACAATAGATTCTTTTAATAAATTACAAGTCATTTTAAATGAGTTGTAGACAAATGCGGTCAATTGATAAACTTCCCTCTTTTCATATGTTTATTGTTTTACAATGGTTGCACCATCACTGGAATAATTTTTTTTTTCTCTTACAAGACTAAAGTTTCGTGTTCATAGATTCATAACTAGTAACTTTTACTTAAAAAGATTTTTCTTCTTTTTGGTAACTTTGATTGTTCTTTATAAACCAGAATAGTGAAATGGCTCTTGGAAAAAGTTTTTTTAAAATCATGCAACCATAAATAAAGCGGTGTTAAAATGCTTAATTGTTGTTAGCGTAACCCCCCTTCTTTTTTTTTTTGAATGAAATGCTTATCTAATGTATTTTATATACAAATTAAAATGCGACTTGTTTAATTAAAACGGAAGCATAGTTTTGTTTATTTTCTCCTGAACAACAAATGTCTTCTTCTTGTGTGGTTGTACAAAAGACGGACATTGCTTAATACATACACGCAATTGATCGAGTGAGATACGTTTATCAGGATCAAGACAAAAGATGTTGAGCAAGATAGAAACCAATGGTTCAGACAGACAAGGCAAGACCGTCTTGAAGAATTGAATTGGATGATAGACAAAAGCAGCAAACGTTGGGTTGGACATGTCTGCTTTTTTCCATGGATTTCTCCCAACTGTCAAATTGATGAGAATGATACCTAGACTCCAAATATCATTTTTCTGTGTGTTGTAGCCTTGTTGTTGATAGACACCTTGGCATTCTATTTCTATCATGAGCCCAAATATGCATGATTTAATTTCACTTTACCTGGTGAAAAATAGAATGCAGATCCATACCCAAATTCATATGAAATAGACTGCGTTGTAGCTAATCCAAAATCAGTCAATTTCACTTGAAGTCCAGGACCCAATGTGATGTTTTCTGGCTTAAGATCACGATGGGCAATCTTGTGTTGATGGCAATAGTCAACAGCATCAATGATTTGCAAGAATATATGCTTTATTTTATCATTATCGCCTACAATGTCCCTTTTATGTCGAGTGATGGCTGCAAATAAATCACCTTCAGGCTGGTATTCAAGTACCATCCATACAATACCCTCCGTTGTATAGACTAGTTTTTGAAATTGAATGATATTAGGATGGCCTGAAAGAAAAGCATGGATGTCTGCTTCTTTTCTGTTGATTAATTGTTTAATTGCAAACAGTTGATTAGAGTAAACATGTCTGCCTAAATAAACAGTGCCATAAGCACCTACACCCAATACAGATATCAATTGAATAGAGTGTTGGTCAATCCATGTATTTAAATAAGGATATGAATGTTGTAAGCAAGGCATTATATGTATAAATTTATATATAAAAAAGAGAGAGAGAGAGAGAGAGAGAGAAAGGAACTCTCCTTTTTTTTTTTTTTTTTTATTCAGCAATTTCCCCATCTTCAATTTCACCTTCTTCTAATGCTGTTGTTGTGATGTTTTCTTGTTCTGTTTTATTATCAACTGTTGTAACATGGTCTGACTTTTCATTTTCATGTAAATCATGCAATGATTTTATAGACTTGACTTCACCTTCCTCTTCACTTTCTGTGCCTAATTTAACAGGCTGTTTATTTGGTAGTGTTGTAGTCTCATACATGACTGTGTCTTCATCTTGTTGTTCTTCTTTCAAGACATGGTCAATTTGTTCTTGCTCTTCTTTTGTTATTTCATAATTTTTACTCTTTTGACCTGATCCTTGTGCTTCACCATCGTCTGAGTCATAATATTCATTTTCAGGTACAATACGACGATCCCAATAGTTTTCTAAACCAGCGTTAATGGACTGCTATTCAATTAGATACCACTTACGAGAGAATCTGTCGTCTGCATCTTGTTCATCTTCATCATCATCAGACATATCTTGATCACGTGGCACCTCTAGAGAAAACATTTACATTGAGCAACTTATGTATGAACCCTTATTTTACCTTGCATTTGTACACTAGGAGCAAACAGTGTACGAGACAAATTCTCAAATACTTGAGTCCTAATGATGGTTATCAACAAACAGAGCAATAAACTGTATTGCCTTACTTGATTTTCTCCAAATAATCAGGTGTGTTCATGTTCTCCATATTACTTGATCTTACATCCAACTTGTAATCAGGACCAAAATATTCGTAATAATCATTATAAGGCATATCTAAAAAAAAAAAAAAAAAAAAAAAAAAAAAAAAAAAAAAAAAAGATCTGATAAGTATTAACTGCAATTGACGGTATCTTATTTCATTCTCACCTGGTCCAATCTCTTGACCTACAACGACACCTGTTTCATAAGCCCATGCTCTGGCTACATTTCTCATTGTATAGCCGCCGCCACCCAATACAAGTGTAGGCAAATTGAACTTTTTGACAAACTTGACACAGTTAGCATGTCCCTTCATAGAGAGATTAAAGCAACCTAATTTATCACCACTAAGGGAATCGCCACCACACTGCAACACAACAGCAGCAGGTCTATACCATTCCATAACTTTTTCAATGACCTGTATATATATATGTATATGAATACATGAGATCAGATAAGGAGATACATACAGGTTCAAACGTAGATTGATAACTTTCATCATCAATACCATCTCTTAAAGGTACATTGACACTATAGTATTTTCCTTTTTGTACACCCACATCCTATTGAATGAATCAGTCATGGATAACAAGCCTCTTGGCTTACCTTTAATTCACCTGTGCCTGGAAAGAATTCACCGTATTTATGGAAACTAACTGTCATGACACGATCTGTTGTATAAAAGGCTTCTTCAACACCGTCACCATGGTGAACATCAATATCAATATACAACACACGGGCATAGTAACGCAACAATTCCAAAATACCCAACACAATATCATTCACATAACAAAATCCACTTGCTTCACTCTTTTTAGCATGGTGAAGACCACCTGCCCAATTGATAGCAATATCACATAATCCACGGTTCAATCGAGCAGCACCCTCTACACTAGGCATAAGTAACAAATAAGATCTGTATTACACTTTACCCATAGAACCACCAGCACTTAGACCACAGTATTCAAATAGACCTTCAAAAATAGGAGAGTCATCCCCCACATTAACTAGTAACAGTCAATAGATATCCATAGATATATATACACACATACACTTGGCTTGTTCTTTTTGAAATTGATCCATGTTTTCAGGTGTCACACGCGATAAGAAATCAATGTAATCGTCTGTATGAAACTGAGTCATTTCCCACTTATTAGCAGGTTTAGCTCTCTATCAAACACACATTAGAAAAGACAATAGAATAGTAGCAATAATTACATAAATTTCCATTTTCTTATAGAGACCATAGTTCATGACAAGACCATGACACATGCGAATACGATGAGGACGCATGGGATGTCCAGGGCCATAATGATAGTTACCTACATTGGCTATATAGGTGTAAGTATCCGTATTTATATATTCGTTGCTTACCATCATAAAAGTAACAGACGCGCTTTTTACTTTCTGAAGGCATCTCTTTGTCTGTTTATATCTCAAGGGGGAAAAAAAAAAAGAGAGAGAGAGAAAAAAGAAAAGAAAAAATTTCACTTTTTTTTCGCTTAAATACCAGCCAATAAAAAAAGAAGTGTATGTCAAAGAGAATACTTGACTTTCAAGAATAAAAAAGAAAGAAAAGGCATTCAATAAACCAACTATGTCTAATGCCTTAAAGAGAATGCATACTGACCATGTCCTCTTTATATATGCATGACACTTTAAACAACCGACTTAAATTTAGCCTTGGGCCCTTTTTTTTTTTTCTTCTTTCTTTTCTTTTCATCATGAATCGCGTCTTGTTATTGAGTGCCTTGTTGTTCTTGCAAGGCTTATTTGCCATGTATATTGATATTCAACCAGGAGAAATCGAATGCTTCTATGAACATCTTGAAAAGGGTGAAAAGATGACCGTGTCTTATCAGGTACAATGTTCAGGTTCATCATTTATTATTTACCATGACTATAGGTTGGTGAAGGTGGTAATCTCGATATTGATTTTAGTGTAAGTCATATTTTAGACTGTGATGTACTCAAACCCAACTAGGTCAAAGACCCGGCTGATTCTGTTATTATCTCTACCACAAGAACATCGACCAATGAGCATACTTTCTTAGCCAACATTGAAGGACAATACACGTATTGTTTCAGTAATGAGTTCTCTTCTGTGACAGAAAAGCGAGTTGGGTTTAATGTACATGAAAACATTCAAAAGATTCATGATAGTGTCAAAGGTAAGAGACCTGATGTGTCTATCTTTATGCTAAGCGATGTGTTAGAACACACAGACCCATTGGAAAGAGAAATTGCTGAATTAGCAGAAAGTATTTTTTCTGTTAAAGCTCAACAAGAATACATTGTTGTTCGAGAAAGACAACATAGAGACAGTAAGTCATTTAGAGCCAAAACAATGTATTCATGACACAACAATAGCTGCTGAAAGTACAAATGATCGTGTTAAATGGTGGTCTATTGGACAACTTGGATTATTGATCACTGTATGCTTATGGCAAGTGTATTACTTGAAGCGTTTCTTTGAAGTCAAAAGAGCTGTTTAAAATTGCATGATTTTAATGCATATTAAAAATAATGACGAAAAAAAATAGAAATAAAAAGCTTATTTTATCTTTCTTTCTTTTATGATACATGTTCATAAAAAGACAAATGTTCAAAGCGTGCTTGAATAAAGAGATTTATGTTACTCAATGCGCTCTGCGTACTTATAGCACAAAAGTAGTCATGTCTAATTTCGAAAAGAATAAATACATGGACTATCAACGCTTAAAAGGCAATATCCATACAGTCAAGAAAAGGTAGATAGATCGTATTGAAATGCCCATTGAATTATATGAATAGACTGAACCGTCCTTTGACATTCTCTGAAAAGATTGTATATGGTCATCTGGATGATCCAAAGACACAAGAAATCATCCGTGGCCAATCCTATCTTAGACTCCGTCCTGACCGAGTGGCCTGCCAGGATGCCACTGCTCAAATGGCCCTTTTACAATTCATGTCCGCTGGCTTAGACACAGTGGCTGTCCCGACCACAGTCCATTGCGATCACCTGATTGAAGCTCAACTTGGGGGACAAAAGGACTTGGCTCGAGCCATGGATATCAATAAGGAAGTCTACGATTTCTTAGCCACGTGTACGGCTAAGTACAACATTGGGTTCTGGAAACCAGGTGCCGGTATCATTCATCAAATCTTGCTTGAACATTACGCATTGCCTGGTGGACTCATGATTGGGACAGATTCCCATACGCCAAATGCCGGTGGGCTTGGAATGGTTGCTATAGGCGTGGGAGGTGCAGATGCAGTGGATGTGATGGCTGGTATTCCTTGGGAACTTAAATGCCCTCACGTGATTGGGGTTCATCTTCATGGTCAGCTACATGACTGGACGAGTCCTAAGGACGTCATTCTTAAATTGGCTGGTATCTTGACAGTTAAAGGAGGTACAGGCGCCATTGTCGAGTATTTTGGAAACGGCATGGACTCTATTTCGTGTACAGGCATGGCTACAATCTGTAATATGGGTGCTGAAATAGGTGCCACGACCTCTGTCTTCCCTTACCATTCTTGCATGCGTGATTATTTACATGCGACTGGACGTGGTTCAATTGCCCATGCTGCTGATACAATGGCCAATTATCTGCGAGCAGACAAAGGTGCAGTCTATGATCAAGTGGTTGATATTCACCTGGATCAATTGGAACCTCATATCAATGGTCCCTTTACGCCTGATTTAGCCACGCCTTTATCTCAATTCAAACAAGCCGTCAAAGAGAATCAATGGCCTCATGAGCTCAAGGTAGGCTTGATTGGTTCCTGTACCAATTCATCTTATGAAGACATGACACGTGCTGCTTCTGTAGCCCAGCAAGCCATTGATCACGGTATCAAGACCAAATCTAAATTCACCATCACACCTGGTTCTGAGCAGATTCGAGCTACCATGGAACGCGATGGTATCATCGACACCTTGACTCAAGCAGGCGGTGTGGTGTTGGCCAATGCGTGCGGACCTTGTATTGGACAATGGGATCGTCAGGACGTACAACGAGGCGAAGCAAACTCGATTTTGACATCCTATAATCGCAATTTTTCAGGCCGAAACGATGCCAATCCTGCTACACATGCGTTTGTGGCTTCTCCGGAAATCGTTACTGCTTTAAGTATTGCGGGCGAATTGACGTTTAATCCAACAAGAGATGCATTGATTGATGCAAAGGGTCGTCCCTTCAAATTAAAAGCTCCTCATGGCGATGCATTGCCTCACCAGGGCTACGATCCTGGACAGGACACTTATCAAGCGCCTCCTCAAGAACGACATCAAATCCAAGTCAAAATTGATCCCCATTCCAGCCGCCTTCAACTGTTGACACCGTTTGATCCGTGGGACGGTCAAGACATCAGAAACATCCCTGTTCTGATCAAAGTCCAAGGCAAATGTACGACAGACCATATCTCTATGGCAGGCCCTTGGCTTAAATACCGAGGTCATTTAGAGAACATGAGCTATAATTTCTTGATTGGAGCCAAAAGTAGTGAAGGTAAAACAAACCAGATCAAAAATGTGTTCACAGGCCATGAGGGCACAGTGCCTGAAACAGCGCGCGATTACAAGCAGCGAGGTGTGCGTTGGGTTGTGGTTGGCGATGAGAATTATGGGGAAGGATCGTCTCGGGAGCACGCTGCTTTAGAGCCTCGCTATTTGAATGGCATTGCTGTGATTGCAAAATCATTTGCGCGTATTCATGAAACCAATCTCAAAAAACAAGGCATGCTTCCTTTGACATTTGTAAATCCCAGTGACTATGATAAGATAGATCCATCTGATAAAGTGGATATTCTCGGTCTGACTGAGTTTCAAGAAGGCAAGCCATTGACCCTTTGTCTTCATAAACAGGATGGAGAAACAGTTCAAATCCCTTTACAGCATTCGTTTAATGATCAACAGATACAATGGTTCATCAAAGGGTATGCACTTGAATATCTTATCTATCTTTACTTATTCTTTGTATAGCTCTGCTCTCAACTTGATGAAGGAAACTCAACCATAAAAAAAATGACGTATAGTCTATGCAATAAAGCACATTTTTTTCTTTTTTCCTTTTCTTTTATTTTCTCTCTCTCTCTCTCTTTCTTTCTTTCTTTCTCTGTCTTAAAAATGTCTTTTCGACCACCACGTTCACTGCCTATTCTTACGCTTTTCCATAGTGTCAAGTCTGATAAATCAAGAGCAGCACTTGCATTATTACAGAACAAACAAAAAAACGCCAGAGGAGACGATACCTATAAAATCGACATTATTGACCATCAAACACCTACCGATACTCAACTGAAGCAAGTTGCTAGTTTTCTCCAAAGTCCTACACCATGGAAAGACATGATCGTCGATCATAATGCCAATAATGCTCAAGATGCTATTCAGGCTATTCAAGACAATCCCAACTTACTCAATCGACCTATTGTGGTGGACTGGCAAAAGGGCAAAGCAGCCATTGGTTCACGTACATTGGATACCATTGAACAATTAATTAAACAAGTACATCAATAAAAAAAAAGTTTATTTTCTAGTGGCTTTGGATTTCTTTTTAGCTTCAGTTACAGAAGCATCTGATTCTTCAGAGGCAGTTGGTGGTAAATCAAGCACAACAATATTACAAGTCTGCTTGACTTCAGGACGAGGCTCGACTGTTAAATGATGTGCATGAGCTGTTTCTGGTCGAGTAGGTGTACACATAGGGATGCTCTTGACCCATTCGTCCTCAAGGACATCTTCCAATGTACAACGTTCTGCTGGATTAGGCGTTAAGATACGCTTCATGATCAGCCGAGATTCACGTGGTAACATTTTAAATAATTTTTCAGCACCCATCGTAGAAGGTGTAATAAAATTCTTATAAGACTGGTCTTTTTCAGGTCGAGGAATACGCCATGGGAAACGACGAATAGACATACAGATAAACACAATAGCGCAAGACCAGAGATCAGTAAGACGAGCATCATAATCAGGGTCAGTAAATTGTTCAGGAGCAATATAAGGGTCAGAACCACAAATACCCTTGCTGCGGTGAACTCGGGTCTCGTGAGGGTATTTGTTGACAACAGCACAACCAAAATCAATGATCTTGACAATACCTCGTTCGTCTAATACCATATTATCGAGTTTCAAATCACGGTGAGCCAAGCCCATTTGTTGAAGATAATGAACACCATTCAACAATTGTCGCCAGCAACAATTGATTTCTTCTCGAGACATTTTTCCACTCATGACAATATTGAATAGATCATTGGGAGCAAATTCCATGATTTCAAAAAAGTATTGGCCTTCTTGAATGATATCCAATGTCTCAATCACATTTACATGGTGAAGAGTAGAGCCAATACAGAATTCAGCAGTGACCTTCTTGACGTATTCCTTTTCTGGTTCGTTAGGTGCTCTCTTTCTAAACTGTTTCACTGCAAATGTTTTCCCGTCTGTGTTACGGCGAATTAGACGAACTGAACCACCTGCGCCTTTGCCAACAAAGCGGCCTATCAAAAAATTATTAGGGGAAAAAAAACTAAAAATATGTATACATTACCCCATTTTCCGTATTTGCCTTCCAAGTCTCGATTAAATTCATTTGCGAACGAGACTTCACTACTTGTTTTATGATGTGTCTTGTATCTCTCTTTTTTCTTTTCTGATTTAAACAATTTTTTTAGATCTTTAAAGATGGTATCTTTCTTTTCAAGGCGATGGAAGTGTGTATGATGGTATTCTTTGTTGTATTGGGGTTTCTTGAACACAAACTGTGATGGTGTGGTAGGACGAACAGGCAATGAATTAGTGCTGGCGGAATAAGGAATTCCCTTTGTATTGAGTGACGTTGTGGAAGCACTGTATGATTCGTCAAAGGAGCGCTGTTTAGGTGTGGATTTAGATTTACTGCTGCTTTCATCGCCACTGTGTTGAGGGGATAAGGAAGGAGGGGTATGGACAGCAGTGGGAGGCAGAGAGGGAGAAGGATAACCAGACGAACTATCCGATTCATACTTGGGGTGTTGGCGGTGAGGTGTCAAAAGAGGTGTACCAGGCATTGAAACATCTGGGGTTACATTTTCAAACTGGTGTATAGCATGCTTGTTTTGAAAGATTTTGGCTGGAGCATTGAAGTCGACTCTGTTTAGTTTCTCTGTCAACTGATTGTCATCAGGATGTGTCGTATCAATCACAATAGAATGAGAACTCATTTCTTCTGTCTATAAATTCAATAAATAAATATCTATAAAAATATGAAAAAGAAAAAGAAAAGAAAAAACAGAAACAATTACAAATACAAAAGTGCTTTATATATAAATATATATGGCCCACGCACTCATCCTGATTAGGCAATCGTACGAAAAAGAAGCGCCGAAAGTCTTTAATACACCGCACATAACATTGAATCCATGTTAAACGTCTATCAGTCTATAAAAAACGAGTTTTTTTTTTTCTTCTGATATTGTTCATCATCGGTTTTGTTCAAGATTTAGCGCGATTAGAGTTAGATCAATGATATCAACTTACTTGGGCTGATATTTTCTGCGGAAGCATATTCGGATATTTGAGGGTAGGTCAGATAAAATAGGAAAAATAAGAACCCGGTGGGACCGAATACAGGCCCGCTTGACAGTAGTTAAAGAATGAAAAAAAACAAATACCAAGTTCTAGATTTGCTGAGTAGAATATTTTTCTGTAAGGGGCATTCAAAACAAACAGATGTCACACAGTCAACCATATTGTGTATTTCATTCTAATCCGCAGCTTGCAGATCATCAATAACTTGGCCTTGGCCAATAACAAATATGCTCTTGACGGATAAAATTCCGGAAGAAAGCTGTCACATGGCGTGCCAAGTTCTTGTTGTCAGTTGATACATGGCCAAGTGAAATTTCGGCATTATCAGATTGATATGCTAATTTTGCGTCATGTTGTGTGGGAAACACCTTTAGTCTTGATATCAACAAATGAGAAACAGTTGATTCTATTGTCTTTATAAAAAAAAAGTATTAGCTGCATAAACAATCTATAAACCCATGTAAAGAAAAAGGATTTAAGCATGTTCACACACATACTTTCTCTTTTTTTTTTCTTTTTATATATATATATTTATCATGCCAAAGAAGAATACACCTAATAAAGACATGACTCAAAAGGTCGATAAGAATAGACCCAAGACAAAACAAGAAAAAAAGGATGAAAAGAAGAAACATAAGCAAACGGTAAGTTATGCAGTAGATCTTTTTTTTTTTTTTCATAATAACCCCTTGGGCTAGAAAAACGAAAAAGCTCAAATGGCAAAGAAAGGGTTCGATTACTAAGTTTATGCAAATCAATAAAGAAATATTATCTTGTAACACAAGGTGTGTTTAATAATGATTAAAGAAAAATAGGCTGTAGTACACAGTCGAGCCATAGTAACACAAAAATGAATCTATATAAATTACTGTTTCATTATTATAACACATTTCTCTCTTTTCTATATTATGACAATACCTTTTCAAGATTCACCTTCACTTATACTTCCCCGAGGAACAGACCCTACATTGCATGGCTTGAATGAAAATCATGACCAAGAACACGTACCTACCAATACGAGTAATTACGACCTTTCTTACTACTTTCAGCAACAGCAACAATCACCCACTTTTCAACAAGAGGAATTACCCAAGGGGTTCTATAGACGCACTCGATCTTTATCTATAGGAAGTACTATATCTACCAGTCAACAACAATATGCACCTCCACCTAGTGATGATACCAAAAACTTGCGCTATAAACTCAAGACAGACAAAAGCAATCAAAAAGCCCATCAATTTTTTGGTGAACAAGTCAAATTAGAAATATCTGCTCGAGAGATCAAACGAGAAGGACTCAGAGCACTCTTGTTATCCACTGTACCTTTAGGCTACTTTTTATATCATTTGCTGAATGAATACAGCAGTGAGAATTTAGTAAGTTTGTGATTATCTACAAGCAAGGTGTAACCTGGACAAGTTCTTTTATTTAGCAGTAGAAAACTATCAGAATTACGAATTCTCGAGTCATTCAGAACGCCTTCATGTGGCTAACAAGATTGCTAAAGCATACTTGACCAGGAATTCGGAGCTAGAAATCAATTTAGAAGATAAGATTTATCGTACAGTGATAAAATCCTTAGAGCAGTTACAACATCAAGAATCAATAGCTGGCATCGAATTTGATGCGGCGAAAAAGCATGTCTTTTCTTTACTAAACGCAAGCTACTATCGATTTCGGACAACGAACATATGGAATATTATGGAATCCAAGTGCAGTAAGTCAGCTTGTTAAACTGAGGTATCACTTCTAATTATTTATGCAGGCGATATGAATGCATTTAATAGAGAAAGATCTCAAGCATTAGTGATCAATTTGTTATTATCACACATGAGATGCAAGAACCGGGATTCAACCACGTATAAATTAGTGCATTCGTTCTGTCGTATTTATTTGCCTTATGGCTATCAACTTCAATTGAGCGGTAATAGAATAGACACCTCCCCCATGAATTGTAGAAAAGCAGCAGGAGGAAATGAAACAAAAAAAGGGAATGGTTTCATCAAATTTGATCTTTTTAGACTGTCTAGAAAATAAATAGTTTTGTATTCCCTTGTCAATTCCAAGGTAAACCAAGCGTTTCTTAAAAATAGGGTGATTCCTTGTCAAACATTTTTATGCATTTGTTTGAAACAAGGCAGAGCGAGTTGCCTGATTTGGTAAGATGTTCTTTACATGAATGAGTAATTCGCTGCTTAGTCAGGTTGCTGCAATGATTGCATTATCATGTAGTACGATCACTTTTTGACAAAGGGTTAATTCATTCCAAACCAAGGCAATGTACTTACAGCCAACCAATATATCTTTTTTAAAACACAACTACTAGTCCTTTTTTTTTTTTTTTTTTTTTTTTTTTTTTTTTTTTTTTTTTTTTGCTTATTCATAGGAATTCTAAATTTCATTTTAAAGATTGAGAAACAATCTAAACCTTGTACTATTTTCTACTGCTTACAATCTGTTAAGAACGTGCTTTTTTAATTTTTAATCGAATGTGCATATACTAGCCCAAGTAGCATTGGTGGCAATCCCAAATAACATATCCAATAAAGATATTCAAACTTACTTTTGCTTAAGATATACCTTGGAATATGATCCAAATGAAGCGAATATCTATCCAAAGACCGCACCTTTCTCGACAGAAATACATTCAAAACAAATTGTTTTCTTTTTGATAAAACTTGAAATTTAAAAACCTTATTGTGATAATGCAATAAATTTCAATAAAGCTATTAATAAAATCAGATTAGAAGCCTTTATATGAAAATGAACGGTAAGGAGAAAAATATCACATTAGAGAAAAAGGATTCTCTCTCTCTCTCTCTGCTTACAACGCTTTATATTTAATGATTCCATTACTGCAGCAGGGTCTCAAGTTTTCCTTGTTAAATTAATGCAAAAAGTGATAGCAGTGTTGATTTGTTAAGTGGCTTAGAATTGCATTGACAGCGTCCTTTTGAACTGTTATTTTTTTTTTCTTTTCTCCTTTTTATTACATATATGCCAACCTATCTTATTCAGTTTGCCCAGGTTTGTTTTTTGGGAGTATATTTCTGTATGTTTACCAACCTTATTTGTATAGTTTCACGAAGAGTTTAGACTTCCCGAACTACTTTCCTTGACTCAACTACAGAAAGTAAGCCTTACTTATGCTCCAGAAGACTACAAGCTAGACGTAAATTACACTCGTATTTGATACATAGATATTGACAGCTGTTTTTCTCTTTTCTTTAGAACCCTTTTCTCAAGGTTCAACTAGAATCAACAGAAGCAGCACAAAAACTTATTAAAAGAGCCATTCTGATAAAGTAAATTGGGAAAAAGACTATGGTTATATTAACCTATATGAATAGAAACATTTACGAACTTTGGGGTGAAGGAAGTACTTATGAACAAGTACACCAACAAGTCAAGACAACTTCGGATCGTTGGCCTGAATACAACACTTGTTCTTTCAAATTTGTTGTGTCTGCTTTCGGCTCTACAATTTCATACAAGGAACAGATCGATGTAATTAATTCATTTGCTTATCTTGGCTTTGAAGGACCTATTGATATGAAAAACCCTGATGCCCAATTTCATGTGCTTGCTGATTATGGCTTTGACAATACACTTGTAGCTAAAGACCCTCTTTATATCTATATGGGTAAATTAGTCGCTACAGGCAGTCGTGATCTTGTCAACTTGTACAACTTGAAGAAGCGCAAATATTTAGGTACAACATCCATGGACGCCGAATTATCACTTGTCATGGCCAACCAAGCCTTAGCAGCACCCGGTAAGCTTGTGTATGATCCCTTTGTGGGCACAGGTAGCTTTTTATTCACTTGCGCTCATTTTGGTGCATTCACCATGGGCTCTGATATTGATGGAAGACAAATTCGTGGTAAAGGAAAGGCAGGTGTGCAGTCTAACATTGAGCAATACAACTTGCAAGGCCGTGTACTTGATACACTTGTGTTTGATATTTGTCGCAATCCATGGCGTAAACAACAATGGCTGGATGCTATTGTGACAGATCCTCCTTATGGTGTGCGTGCTGGTGCTAAGAAACTTGGTAGAAATGACGGTAAAGAGCTATCGCTGCGTACGTATGATGGTGTCCCTATGCATACACGTGAAGACTATTATCCACCCACTATGCCTTATGAAATGTCTGAAGTGCTTGTGGATTTGTTGAATTTTGCTGCCGAGAATTTGAATTTGGGAGGAAGATTGGTGTATTGGTTGCCTACAGTCGTTGATGAATATTCAAATGATGATGTACCTCAACATCCTTGTATGAAATTAGTCTCAAACAGTGAACAAAACTTTGGTCAATGGTCTCGAAGACTGATTACTATGGAAAAGATCAAAGATTGGTCCGAAAAAGACAGAGCTATAGTAGAAATAAGTGTAGTATCAGAAGCTGAAAAAGCAGAGATTATGGAAAAAGGAACAGAAGATCCTAAAAGACCAGGTCACTTTTTGTTCCGCGAAAAGGTAAGCATAGCATGCATAAGGGGAGTTTTCTAATTGAGTTTCTTTTTTTAATTCTAGTATTTCAATTTTGGTCGTTAATGTATTGTAATAAGTTATCGTTGAATCACTTCTATAGAACAAAGTGTTAAATAACTAGTGTTTATATATATATATATATCTAATTTTACCTCCCAAGTCTTCAAAATCAAGTTCGTCATCATCATTTAATTGAATGACTTCTTTTACTTTATCTACGACAGCTTGATTTGCTATAAATGTCTCCAAATGAACTTTATGCCTAATAGAAGACTTGTACTTCATTGTTTCTTCAGCATATTTAGCTCTGATGGCCTTGAGTGTATCTGCTTCACAATGTAGATTGTGTTGACTTTCAAATACTACCTGCTCCTTGTTTTTCAATCCACTTGGGAAACAAGCTGACCATTGATACAAGAAATGATAGCATTCTTCAATCTGGTTTACCCAAATATGACACAGTTTATAAAGCCTGCTACAAATACCCATGACAACAAGTGCTAAGGACACAAAATGTTCTAGTTTGAGCAAGGTTGAATTAGCTCTGAATGTCTCTAATGCAACAATCTTGATTTTGTCTAATAGCAGAGCAGCACTGATCAAGCGATGCATGGTATATTGGATAGATTCTCTGCTTGGAATAAAATTCCATTTTGATTGGCACTTGTCCAGCCTATACATTATCAACATGGGAATAGAAAGACAAAGAGAAACTTACGACTTGCTGTTCCAAAAACATAAATAAAGTCTTTCCAATTCTTTATCTATTTTGAGTACTTTTAGTCTCTTGACAAGCCTTCTTAGTTCCATGGCATTCTTGAAGCGATGAAACTGTCTTTGTTGGTTCATGTTTTTATAATGAATACGATCGAGTACAGCAACTTCGACCCAAAATGATTGGCGATCTGCAAATAGATCCAAAAAGGATTTGAGTGAACGCAACTGACTATCATGACTCATGTCTATCTTTTTATTGATTCGAACATCTGAGAGCACCGGGTTAGGTGGAATGGGAGGATCAAGAAGTGTATAATAAGGTGGTGGCGTTGTCATATTGAAGAAGAAAAAAAAAGAGCACTTTAAATTACGCTCAAGAAGCAGTAATATGTCTTTTATCAAAATCAGAAAATGATCTGTAGCTCATCATACAAGCAATTTTTATTATTTCATTATTATGGATAATGATGTTGTACTGAAGGATTATTCATGGATTGCGAATGACTTGCTTCTCTTTCATGTCCTATAGTATGAGCAGCAAGAGGGTTGCGAATATAATGGTCATAGTTTTCTCTGAAAGAAGGGTGATGATGTGGTTGATAGGGCTGTTGTTGAGCACGATACATATTAGCCATTTCAATGGCATTTGAGCTATCAAGAGTATGAGGATCATGCGTACGATACGCTCTTCCTGCTACGAAATACTCCATGTCTTCTGACATAGGTGTCTGCATTGGACTATAAGTACTTGTTTGCGCAGAGTCTGTGTAAGACTCGGATGAACCTGCTACTAGAGGTCTTGTAGGAGAATAAATATCATTACTTGAATGAGGTAGGCTTTGATTGATACGGTTACTTAGCCTTCGGAGAGGATTTGTAGCAGCTGAATTACCATGAATGGTTTGATTTGAGAAACTATTGCTGTAATAGCTTGTTTTAGGGGGATCTACTATGTTCTCACTCTCTTCGTCTTCATTAAACTTGTACATGCCTTTGATACCTTCGGTGGAATCATCAAACTCCAAGTCTTTTTCTCCGACACTTTGGAACTGAAGTTCTCCACCACCTCCTGCATTGTTTTGCAAATGAATGACAGATACATGTCGAACGCTCTTTTGTCTTGTCATACGGCTAATAAAGGGCTTCTTGCTTGTTTTGTTACTACTGCCGTACACCTTTGGCAACAAATGTCGAACACGCTCATGAACCATAGGCACAGGAAGTTCTGCGAAAAATGCAGGATCGCCAAATCGAAATCCAACCGAATGCTTGCCTGTCTTGGTGGTAGGCGTCGACATATCGTTGTCTGGATAGAGTTGGTTTTCTGTGGTATGTTTTGGCGTATAATAGTAAACGAGAGGATCAAAGCGACGACTACAGATAAACTTGTAAATGATGGTGATAAATGGCAAGGGTATCAAACACATAGAAGGAGCTTGAGCACTTTTCAAGTTCAAGACACCAATCATGACCACTTGAAACAGAGTTGTAGAGACAAGCAAACGGTTAAACAAGAGTCGCCATATTTGACCTCCTGTTTCAACGTGTGTCGCAAAGACATACATCAAGAGATATTTGAAGACCATGGTGGCCAGAATGAAATACATGAGTGTGAAGGGTAAGACTAAAGGAGCAATGACAGAATAGATCAAGCCAACAGTGAAGAAGAAGAGTAAAACGTTGTAAAATAAAGGATAATCAAAAGGTGATGGTCTTGTAAATTCTATAAACGGAGTTAGGTAAACCAACATGCTAGAAGTGCTTACCTTGTAATTGACGTGGACTTGGTTGAGTAAAGAATTTTCTTTATGTATAACAGTTAGTATACCCTCCCTCCCATCTTCGTTTCTTTACCTGAGTGTCACGGTAATGAGCACTACTACTTGAGCCAAGTCTACAATAACACCAAGACCTTTTAAAGAAACATAGTTCACCCAATATGTTGAAACATCTGCAAGAAATACATTAAGAACTTGATTCTTTTGAAATTTCATTCACACTTACCACTCAAGTTCTTTGCCACCTGGGTCAAATTGCTTGTTATGGTGTAAAAGAAATCATGAGCGTTTAAATTCTGACCATTCTTTGCTGCTTGTTGAATTTCTGCATAAAGAGACATGAGCGTAGAAGAAATAGTAAAGACCAATAAGTTGTTGACAATAAAAAAGACAAACAATTTTGCTAATACTTGACGATCCAAACTTGTACCTGTCATGTATCCTTGTTGCTGAGACATGAATCGTAAAATCTTGGGCAGGATAAAGAAGAAGATGGCCATGACAATAGGCGTGAACCAAGAGCTAAGAAGTGAGACAAAAGTAGGATGGGCCTTCATGAACTTTGTTGAATTAGGAAAGAGTCGCAAAAAGCCTTTCACATTAGATGAAGCAGACAAGAAACTAGAAGGTATAAACCAGAAAAAGACAAAACCATAGAATATGGTAGTAACAACAAGTCGTTTTGTCCGTCTTACATGTTCATTCATGGCTAGGTTAGACCAAATAATATCTTTTGGCTGTGGTGCAAGTTCAATTGTAGGCATGGGTCCGTCTGTCAAAAGCTTTGGTAGAGAAAGTAAAGGTGAAGCAGCTGAAGCTAGATACTTGGCATTCGCATGAGCCCACTCTACTTTTTCATACGATATCCATCCATAATTTGTCTTTTTACTTGAAAAGATCTCTGCTCTTGCTTTTGTAGTTTTCTCTTGTAGCTCTTGTACTTTTTCAGAATAATAGTTGATTGCATCTACTTTGGTTCCACCACAACAACCAAGAAATCCACCAATACGTACAAGCGGTCTCTTTTTGTTTTGAACAACTTGTCCGTCTAAAAAAAAATTAGGCTGTATATGCTTCATTTGGCTTTGCGTACCTTTTAAATGGTTGGAAAGAGTAATTTCGAGTTTTCTGACAGCCTCCTCATGCTCTTCTACATATTTACCAAGTTCCGCATTTTGAGTTCCAATACAAATCTGTTGCGCGGGATATTTGAGTCCCATTCCGTTTACCCAATCGGCTAATGCTTTGTCATTTCTCATTGATGGAGGTACATTAAATATCATGAGTGTTCTTGCATGCATTGACTTTTGATACTCGTCGCTTTCAAAATAGTCTTTTCTAAGCTTGACATAATTCATATAAAATCGCCACAAGAACACATAGATAACAACTGAAAATAACCACGTCCCTACAGCATGACACCAATACCAGCTCAAGTTTCCATTGGAGAAATGAAACTTGCCATCATAGTAATTAATTGTAGAGATAGATAAAAATTCAACACCAGGTTCAGGTGGCCACTCTCTAGGGCGCTAATCATGTTGAGTTCTTCTTGTATATCACACAACGTCTTTCTCATTACCCTGTATATGAAGTAGCAACAATATTGATGGGAACAATGACACATACACCAATGAATGTCATGATATAAAGCATACGTCGAATCATTCGAAGAAATTGAACAAAAAGCGTTGCATCGTATCCGATTTTTTCAATCAAGACATTATCTGGCGTATATATCACAGGCCCAAACCATGCAAAGAATCCTGTTTGTAATTGTTATATATTTAGGTCGTACAATGCACTGTGTATACCATGTCCTATTTCTGGCGGCTGTTTTCTATTGTCTTTCGTTAGTAAAAAAAAAAGTATCATTGAGATAAATACGTACGATTTTGAAGCATACTTATATTTCGGTGCATAGACAACTAAAATGAAATTCAGTCAATAAAGCCACAGGATACTTTGTATACTTGCGTGAATTGTTAGGCCGCAAAATATTAAAAACCACCAAAACACCTACAGCAATAGCTGCGTTGATACCAAGTTGTGTTGCCATACCCGTCAATGACAATTGAGCATCCTCTTTTCTAGTACTTGAGATATCAGTACTCATTTAATTTGATCTAAATTCAGGAACTAAAAAAGAGAGAAACAGAAAAAAGAAAAGAAAAAGAAATTTATTGTCTCAATTAATTATATGTGTAACCTGCTTGGATCAAATCAAAGTAAGCTATAGAGTTTAAACTAATTTCGTGAAACTAGGTGATGTTATCTTAAGGATTAACTTAGCTGAATCTTGTTGTCATTTTTGAGACTGAATGCACTCAGATTAAGTATCATTTGAGGAGTCAGGTAATTAGTTTTGCTTACAGAGACGATAATGCTCCTTTTATGATCTAATAAACCAAAACTGTTTTGGAGGGCGAGGTCAAGCGATTGCCCTTGCCAAAGTAGTCAACAAAGAAAAATACAGGATAAATAGGGGAACACTCCTTCCACTCCAATGTTTACTTTAAAAATAGAGCGAAAGAATGGGATTTTGTTACTTATTGTAAAAGAACCCATAAAAACAGCAATAAGTACAAGCAAATTTCTAAACCCAAAGGGAATTGTGACATTGATCGAAAGTGGATAATGCAGTTGGCAGAAACTTCAAACTCTATCAAGGAATATTTACAAAGCTAACGGTAACGGTTTTAGCCCAAAAATGCCGCTTTAAAATCTAATGTGGCCAAGCGAACTAATAAACGAATAAAGAAAGCAATTCAAAAAATCATATAAGCGACACTTTCTATGGTGGCACTATCAACAACATTTGCAATGAAGCACATATTGCCAGTGAGGTAAATTCTTCTTTATTTTGTAAAATCAGATAACTACAAAAGCCATGACCAGATCGAAATAACAGAATGCAAAAGAGAAAACCTGAAGAAGAATCGCCAAATAAAGAAGAGAACAAGCAAAGCTCAATAGATAACGGGTAAGGATAAAAATGTTATAGCTACTGGCCACTGGGGTATGAGTGATAATATTATGTGATGTATAGTAATACAAAAGCCTTTATGTCAACAAATTTATTGCTTCTTATAACAACGAATGTCATTGTTTTCATTCTAAAAATATGCCTTCTAAAGTTTCTCGCTTGAGAATGGTCTGTTGTCTGCATCCTATGTCTTACAGTTTTTTTTTAACGCTGTAGACAGTACTAAAAGATGCTCTAAGCACAAATGACCCACAGTAGCCTTATTTTTTCAAGAATAATTTTGAGTTGCGAACCAGCATTCAAATCAGCATTATGATATTTGCCTATCTCTTCTAATTTGTAGTCGTACAACACTTCTTTAGCAGTACCAATAGGAAACTGGTTCTGGAAGTAGGCTCTGATTATATCGGCAGCCGTTGTATCATTAGCTTATTCAGACATTGAAATAATCTGAAAATGAGACAAAATTGCGTTGATTTGACATATTCAAACAAGTGTCACATAATATTGTAGCCGGGCTCTTCAATTGGCTTGATTGTGAAGCTTACCCCTCTCTACTTGCTATTCTGCAAATAGGGGCATGAACATGTCCGGTAGGGGGGTGGTGCGTAAGAAATCGATAAATACATAAACTGATTCAAACGGTAAAACGCTCTTTCTTTATCATATAGTCCAGAAGTTAGCAATTCCATCATATCTGGTAAGGAAGTTTCTTTCAGACCTTATTCTGATGACGATCTTTATTTAGAGCCTATGAAAGCTCACTGCATTGAATTTTACCCCCCCCCATCCATGCGTCTCTAGGTTAATTTATAGATGAATTCGTTAAATCGATAAAAAGCGTTTTTTGATAGAGAAAACTTTGCTTTTTTTGTCTGCAGAATACTCTTCATTCCATAAAAGCAGACTTTTGGTATACAATATACGACTAAAATCTCTTCGGCTTATCATTGTTTTTTAAAGGCTCTGACTATTTATCAATTAATATATTGTATTTGTTCAAGTAAACATGGTAGGACTTTTACAAGGTAATCAATTCATCACAGAAAAAAAGTGCCTTACTAATCATCTTTTTTTTAATTGTTCTAAACGTTTCAGCCTTTGATGATCCTTTAATAAATATCTCATAAGCTATTACTTAATATAGCCAATCATAGTTGGCTGTCGTTTTACTGTTTCAGCCGACCATCTTTTTGCTTCAGCTAATCGTTGCATTGAAAAAACCTGATTGCAAGTTTAATAATATACCTCTTTTCCTTTCAAAACAACATGATTTTATATCGCGAAAGTAGGTAAACCAGCCAAGACTATATTGTATGATTAATCCATAAAATTAGTTATTACTGCTTACATCGAAACACATAAGAATGATAACAAACCTGTTTCCTTTGGTGAATTTGTTAACTCGAACTACGAAACTCTGAAAGTAGAGTGTATGTCTTCAGAACAACGCAAGGATTTACGGCGCAAGTTCAAATCCATAACAAGAAAATATGGTATAAACTATGTAAGTATAGGCGTCAAAACTATATCATGTAAGTACTCGCCTAACAATTGTGTCTGTAGGACATGCAAGGAGTAATATGGGACAAGGCTAAGAAAGAAACCAGAGAAGATGTCGCGGATATTAAAGAAGACGAAGGTGCTAAAGCAAGTGTAGAGTATAAACAAATTATGTCCACTAAAAAAGAAATACTCAAGAGCAATAAGACACTTAGAAAAATTGATTATCACGTCCAGGTATGTATAGAAGATGCTTATCAAAATAAACTAATCAGTCATGTAGAATAATAACAACAACCAAGATGAAACTGTGTTCTTAAAGTATAGAGCCAAGGCTATTTCTGCTGCTGCTGAAGGGGGGAAATGAAAGACAGCTATACACTTTCTCTAAACTACATCGTATACTATGATTTAAAACTTAACATAATCAGAGAACTGGGCCTGTCAAGTATGCAAGACGATATCGAAGCAAGAATAGACGCTAAGCGCAATCTTAATTTTTCGAATGCTTCTATTTCTCTTATAGCCCATGAAGCTGTCCAACTTATGTTGAGAGGTGCCCATGATGAAGCAGAAATCTTTATGCTTGAAAGACTGTTAGATGCCAAGAAGACAAAAGACACGCAGCTTCAAATTCTTCTGAAGTTACTGCTTTCTTTCAACAACAAAGTAGGTGAAAGTATTGATACTACAGAGGAAACCTTTGTTGCACAAACTCTGAAGCCTTTTTTCGAGCTGTACTTGGATGTCATTGGTGGTACTGAGCACCACGGCTCTCATGGTCGCCTTGAAAAAATCCACTCTTCCTCTTCCTCTTCTTCTCCTTGCTCTCCTTGCTCTCCTTGCTCTTCTTGCTCTTCTTGCTCTTCTTCTTGCCCATCTTCAAAAAGAAATTTGTCTACAGATAGCTCTGTCTTGTGTAACTCTTGGTACAAACTGAAACCAGACTATCTGCTCAAAGGTCTTTTTGAGAATGGTTTGAAAGTTGATGTTCTCGTGGGCGAGTTCAAGAAGCCCTCTGCCAAGCCAACACAAATACTAAATGACAAAGTAAAGCTCGGCAATCTATTGAAGCTCATGGTTGATAGATTGGTGTTACTTGGTGTCCCTGCTCCCATTGTTTGTGGTCTTACTCATGACGGTAAGAACTAAATCAAAAAATGAAACACACAAACAATAACAATTAACCTCTTCTAATTAAGGTCAAATTATCCGAACCTATAAGATGACTATGGTCAAACAGGGTGAATATGACTTTGTGGAGCTCGCCTGCTTTGGATCGATACGCTGTTTGGCTGATTTGATGAGCCTGCCAATGATCATGAGCTACTTTGAACAATTGGCCGTAAGCTTTCTTTCCTTTTTTTTTCCTAGATTATTTTTTTCTAAAACAGTCTTATAGGAAACAGTGAAGCAGACGCTTCAAAAAGTCGAAATGAAGCTCTCTGAAACAATGATCCCTGGTCCCCTAGTCCTCGCTCCCATCTCTGTCGAATGGATTCGCAGCTCTTACGAGTATCCTTCCTGTCCTTCTTCTTCCTCTCGCTCCAAGAAGCAAAAACTATAAATAATGATGTACATTGTAGAAGTATAAACATGTTAAAACAATAAAAACACAGTAAACAGTGACATATTTTTTGACTATCTCTAAAGCCATTTAGTGATGAACACAGACTTGTTGATACATTGATCCGAAATAAAAACTAGCTCAGTTTTTTGTCATTCGGAGGTACCATGATCCAAGAGCCCTTTAATTTAATTAGCAATATATTGTATTTTTCAGCAATTAAGAGACTGTCTCAGAGAAAATAAGAGAAAACTGACCAATAAAATAAGAGAAAAACACAGGAAAAATTAAGAGAAAAAAAAAGGGACAATTAGTAGAAAGCTTATTTATGCTTTAATCTCATTATAAGTTTTTCTCCAGGGCTAAGCACTTTTCAAAGAATCCGAGGGAATGGTGGATCCAGCCTTGGCAGTCTTTCTTGGTTACCTTGGAGCAGGCATCCATGATTCTGGGTGTGAGTGCCTCACCAGTTTCGAAAGGTTTTCTTTTGACACCATACTTCACCTTCGACCAGAATAGCTCAATTGGGTTTAGGAATGGTGAGTATGGTGGAAGATATGCACACCTATAGCCTCTGATTTCTATCAAATTTCTTACTGTAGCTGGCTTATGTATGGGAGCATTGTCCATTACCAAGTAAAAGCCCCTCATGTTGTTTCGGTCAAGAACATCCATCACATTACTCAAGTAATTTAGATAATGCTCGGCCCTTGTTCCAACTTTGGCTGTTGTTGTAACAACTTTACCATCTACTCTTCTCTTCTTAGCTCCCGAAACCATTATTGGCTTTCTCAAAGAAATGTCAATAACGCCGGCACTTGAGATGGCACCAAGGATGGTTATTGTAGTGCCTTTTGAAGCAGGGACAGTTGTCTTAGCAGGTGCTCCCTTCTTAGACCAGCCACAAGTGCGTGTCATGTGAAGATTGAATCCTGCTTCATCCAAAAATACGCAATTGTTCTCAAAGTCAATTTCTCTATCAGCTAGCCATTGAAGGATGGTCTCCTTTCTCTTCTTCAAAGTTTCTTCTGAATTTCTAGCAACTGAAATCTTCTCCAACTTCTTCATAGATAGTACACAGCTGGTCCTAAGATGTCTGTATACTGCGGATGGGCTTGCAGAGAGACTTGGAAACTCTATGATCAACAACTCGTGTATTCCAGCTACAGTTGTAGTTGAACGCTCATCAACAAGGTCGATAATAAACTTCGAGTGCTTCTCAGTAAGCTTAGAGACAGTTCCCATTCTGCGTCCTCTTTCCTTCTGTTGAGGTACCTCCCCAGTTTTCTGCCACTGCGATTTGAAACGGTAGGCTGATTTTTCATTTATTCCTGTCTTTAAAGCTGCATCCTTTATAGGTACCTGTTCAACTAATAGAGCAATAAGCTTGTTGATATCCTGCTGAGTGTATACACGTCTAGCATTGCTAGCGTCGTCTTTTTTTTCAGTCAGGTCTCTGAGAGGCTTCTCTTCTTTCAAATCGCTCTCACTACTCTGCACATCAGCTTCATTTTCCTCCTCGTCCGAGCTATTACTGAGCTCATCACCCTCGTGCCCTTCCTTCAGCTCCATCGTCACATCTTCATCTAACTCCATGGCTGATGCAGTGATGTTATACTCCCACTTCTTTCTCATCATCGACATTACACTGACAATAATCTCGGGTACAGCTTCAATATCTTCGTCGCGTAGAGAGATCTCGTTCATATCATAGTCAATATCCATTTTTTGTTAATAATAGTGAGAAAAGTGCTTTCTACTAATTGCCCCTTTTTTTTTCTCTTAATTTTTCCTGTGTTTTTCTCTTATTTTATTGGTCAGTTTTCTCTTGATTGATCTAAAATTTTCTCTTATTTTATCCAATAATTTTCTCTTATTTTCTCTGAGACTGTCTCTTAATTGCTGAAAAATACAATAAATCAAGTATAAAATGACTGCGATATTCTACTAGTCCCAAAATTTTTACTTTATACTTCCCTTTTCTTTCACAATTTGTTTCTGAACTCTACTCTGGCTTTGCACCCTCCCAAACACTGGAGTCAATAACATGCGGTTGGCTCCTTGTTGGTGTAGCTTTGCATTGGGGAGTAGTAGTTTGATTTTGTCTGGTGTTGTACCCTCCCAAACATTGGAGTCAAGAGCTTGTATATTGGCTCCTTGTTGGTGTAGCTTTACAATGGAGGCTAAAATCCTGTAGTATATTACTGATGCTGTACCTTCATAAGTAAGATGCATGTTAACACTTTGTTGGTATAGCTCTGCAATAGGACTCTAGTCCTTTTTCTTTCACAATTTGTTTCTGAACTCTACTCTGGCTTTGCACCCTCCCAAACACTGGAGTCAATAACATGCGGTTGGCTCCTTGTTGGTGTAGCTTTGCATTGGGGAGTAGTAGTTTGATTTTGTCTGGTGTTGTACCCTCCCAAACATTGGAGTCAAGAGCTTGTATATTGGCTCCTTGTTGGTGTAGCTTTACAATGGAGGCTAAAATCCTGTAGTATATTACTGATGCTGTACCTTCATAAGTAAGATGCATGTTAACACTTTGTTGGTATAGCTCTGCAATAGGACTCTAGTCCTTTTTCTTTCACAATTTGTTTTTGAACTTTACTCTAGTGTTGCGGTTTGTCTTGTTAGTTTTCTACAAGTAACGCTGAAGGAAGTAGCTGATTGAATGAAGCAAAACTAACATTGTTTAGTTGTATGCTACATAGGAATGAGTCATTCACATGTATATACGTTGACTTTGTTTGATTTGCTTAAAAACGACACAACAGCCAAGAGAATTTATTATTTGCCTAATTCTCGTACTGGTTGGACAATCATTGTAGGAGAGCCTCAAAACCACATTGAAAAAGGTTAACCCAACGTGTGTATAACTCACAACAAGCTTCTGCGATCCTGGAGTTTATCATTGCAATCTCTTACGAACAAACAATCCGAGAAAGTAGCTATTCGAGTATAAAGCTTGACTAAGACCAAATATCCATATACACTAGTATGAGTACATGCAGCCTTCGCTTTACTATGAACAGTTCGACTTCTGTTATAACCGTCTCGCTCTTAAAGATACATTCATCTCTGTTGACTAAAATCTACTTATTATATGTTTAAAACGGTAGCCCAAGCCTTTTTTATTGTTGTTTACGGGTCTTTAGCGACTGTTTCAGATCTAGCCTGGACTATTCAGGATCTCAGATACATTATTTTGACTTGCTTATTCTCAACTTAATCTAAATAAATATTTAGTTTCCTTTCATCAATCAACATCAGAATAATTGGATTGAAGCGATTGAATCAATAACAGCTCTTGATCAATACATAAGAGCTGTCAATTTATATCTAAAGCATCCGATTAGCTATTGTTAGTTGCACTCAGTTTGAATCTAGGATAATGACTCAGTCAATATAAAAGTATAAGTAGAAAGCACTATTTGAAAGATAAAGCAATCTTATTCTAGACTGTCAATACCCTAGTTAATCCATTTGTCTCCTCACCATTTTTGCTTGTAGGCCAGTTGTATTTGAAGAGTGTAAGATTTTTCTGGTCTTTATTTAAGAAAAGCTAGCAGTTGATGCAAATATTCATAAGCAACCTTTTGTGTGCTCCCAAGAGCTAGTTACGAATGATTAGCTAGCAATTTCATGTGTCAAGTCAACAATATGCTTCTATGCACGTCTCATATCAGATTGAAAAGCTAATTCTCAGAAGAGGACATGGATATGTATATCTTCCGCCATACTCTTCAAGGCCCAACCCAAATGAGAAATTTTGATCTGTGGTTAAGAGCAAGGTGAAAAGGAAAAAAGTATCAAAGGAAGCTTCAGCCTTAAGAACAGTTGATGCTTGTGATAGCACATATCTGCAGGATCTTCAAGGATTATGCCGTCGTTCAGACTTAAAGCCACAAGCATGTTTAAATAAGGAGCAGTTGTGCAATTCTTATTTTTCACTATTGCAATACGGATTTTGCTATAGTGCAGCTAGAGAATATGATGAACTTCAACCCTTTCATCTCTTGGTATCAAAAATTCTTGGGATTCAAATAAAAAAGATAGACAGACATACATTAGCTTTGAAAGTTAGAAAGAATAATTATGAAATTACTTTGGCATTTAAATATTTACAAAAAACATGGTCCGGGGAGCCTTTTACTATATCCTTTGTCATCACTAAGGCAAAGTCCGTGTTTATGGGCAACCAGTTTCTTCTTGGAGCCTGACCACTGTATTTTTTTTCCCGGCCTATCGGTGATTTGAGTTTGTTAGGTTACTCAAAGAAGCTTGAGCTTCAATATGAGGAAGCAAGCAGAAAATAGTGGTAGTACAACTGAAATAGCATGTCTTTATTGCAGTTATGGTTAGTCGCACAAGAACCTTAAAAAAAACTTCATAAACTATATAACAATCACCAGTTCTTGTTTCTTCTTGTTTCTTCTTTAAATTTGAAATATGGCTCAAAACGAATCTTCGCCATTGCTGGACGGCAGCCAAGCCAACTACAAATCAGGCAATTCTAGTATCAACAGCAATGAAGCAGAAGTTGTGACTGTCTTGACTTCGAATCCTCCTAGTATTAAAGTGGTTGTCTCGAAAGATAGCGATAATCCATCAGTTGAAATGGATGACATCTATAAAAAAAGACTCCATGGTGCCAACATCTATGCTATCTTCGCAGGGTATGTATGCATATATCCCAAGAAATATGGTTATCTGACTTTTCTCTCAGTATCTATGTCGCAGTTGTCTTAGCCTCTCTGGACAATTCCATTGTAGCTACCATTTACCCTCAAATTGGTACTGAATTTAAAAGGTAAATTAAACTTATTACCTTATTTTTTCTAAACAACAACAAAGGTCAAATGAAATTATCTGGATTGCCACCTCGTACATGCTGAGTTTTACAGCTCTTCAACCATTGTGTATGTATATGTATATATGTATAGTTTTCTACGGCAGCTAACTTGATATAGATGGTCGTATTTCCGACGTATTTGGTCGTAAATCTGCTCTCTTATTCGCTACTACTGTGTTTTTTTTGGGTTCTTTCCTTTGTGGTGCTGCTAATAGCTTATGGGTATTGGTCATTGCTCGTGCCATTGCAGGTGTTGGTGGTGGTGGTATTAATTGGTAAGCCGTCGATTCTTGATGCATTCTAATCACCAATAGTATGACTACTGTAATCAATGCTGACTTGGTACCCATCAGAGAAAGAGGCAAATTTCAAAGTTATGGTAACATTGCCTTTACTGTATGTTAAATGGACCTTAACTATTGTGTTACGTTACTAATATTAACAACGAAATCTAGGTTGGCTCAATTTTAGGTGCTCCATTAGGTGGTTTCCTTACTGATACCCTTGGATGGCGTTCATGCTTCTATCTCAACTTACCCTTTTTGTTGATTACTATCTATGTTGCCTCTAAGCTCATGACAAATTACAACTTGGAAGAAAACACAACCGAAACTATCCGTGAAAGATTGAACCGTATTGACTATGCTGGTGCTACCACTGTTGTGATTGCTGTCATCTGTTTCTTGGTTGCTACTTCTTTGGGTGGCAACATTAAGCCTTGGAGTGATCCCATTGTCTTGGGATTTTTCGCTGGTGCTATTTTATTTACTCTTTTGTTCTGTGTTATTGAAGCCAAGTTTGCTCTTCATCCTTTGATGCCTTGGCACATTATCACAAGCCGTACTCCTTTTGCCTGTGCCATGGTCAACTTGTGGTGCCTTATGGCCACAAGTGCTGTTATTTACATCACACCTCTCTTCTTCCAAGCTCTACTCGGCTTGAGCCCTTCTCTTGCTGGCATTTACTTTACACCTAAGGTTATTTTTGTCTGTATCGGTTCGATTTATGCTGGTCAATATATGTCTCGTACAGGTGAATTCCGCAAGATCACCATTGCTGCTGCTATTCTTTCAATGATTGCCATGTTTGGTTATACCTCTTGGACTCCCGAAACCAACAAGTTGTTTATGTTTGTTTGTTTGGCTGCTGATGGCTTAGCTATGGGTATTGTCATTACTGCCATCTTGATTGGTTTGCATTCATGTGTAGCTCATTCTGGTAAGTATAGAACTCAAAAATATAAAAAGGCTCACTCAATGATGTAGAAATGGCTACCATTACATCCATGTCTTACCTTTTCCGTTCTGTGGGTGGTGTCATTGGTGTTTCCTTGACATCTGCTATTTTCCAAGGTGTTGTCAAGCACATTTTGGTTCAACAGATCAAGGGCCCTGATGCTGAATTGGTATGTTGCTTATGTATAATATTATATGACTAACATATTGACTAGTACATTGAAATTGCTCGTAAATCCATGACTGAAGTCCGCAACCTTTTACCACCCGATATTCTTGACGTTGTTCTTGACTCATACCAAGTCGCACTCCGTTATACTTATGCCTCTTGTGCTATTATGAGCTGTCTCACTCTTTTCAGCAGTCTCTTAATCCAAGGTGGTGATCTTCATACTAGAAAATAGAGAGAAAATCTTTTCTCAATGCAATAAAATGTACATAATTTCTATTAAATGAATGCTTATAAGCCACTCAACTGCATAAAACCTGTCCTTTTTTTTCGAACTTTATCTTTTTTCTCTCTTTTTTTTTTATTATTAAATAAACAATGGGAAAACTACAGAAGAAAGGTAGAGTTTTAACTACAAAATATGCTTGGCAGACTTACCTTTTCGTCAATATCAGAAACAGAAAAGAAAAAGAGCACCTCAAAGTGGGCCAACGCCGAGCACGATCCCAAGAACGGTATGTCTTTATTATCGCCTAAACTCTCTTTTTGACACTTATTTTTTATAGCAAAGGAACGTATTGAGCAAGAATTGAAGTTACTGCATGTGCGTAAACAAGCCATCAATGTTAAAGCCCCCACAGTGCACAAAGTGAAAAAAGCAACAACTAAGAAAGGAGCTAATGCAAAGAAACAGAAAAAGATTGCAAGAGCACTCATGGTTGCCGACAAGGAAGAGAGACGAGTAGAATTACAACATACCAAAGCAGAGAAGCGTAAATTGGGAAAGCAATTATGGGCTTAAGCTTTATTAAGATCCAAGACCTCTACCCTTTTTGCGAATAACCGCTTCAATAGGTGCAAGAATACCTTCACTATTAGATCCTAATGCTTCACCTTGTCTCCACCTATTGTATTTAGATGAATAAAACTGTTTCTATCTTTGTTGAACTTACCCCATAGCAGCCAGCATGCGATGGCCAATATTGGATTCACCAATAGGAGCAGCATCAGAGCCGACCACTGTTCCATGAGAAGGACCAGTAGAAGATGGACCACGTTTTTCTCGAGGTGTAGAAGAGCCACTGTTTTTGTTGCTGCCGCCCTTCTTTTTTCCTTTAGCCTCTTTCATACGATTCTTTCCAATGATTCTGTTCTGCTCATTCATGTTGTTCTGTATGTCTGATAAGAAGCGGTTAATGTAGCGTCTATCTCGGGGTATAGAAGTCATAGGCGTCTTTGACACAACTGTACATCTTGCGTTACCAGCACCAACGCTTATAGACTTTAAGTTGTAGACCGCAGCAAGCACATGTAATTGACGTCTAATATGAGTCTCCATAGGGGCAAATTGAAAGCTAGTAATAGTTGAATCCTCCACAAATTCACAAAGCCGACTACAATAATGACAGTTATAATGTTGTTGTGTTACATATGACTTACGAGTCTATCTTTAGCATTTCGTTGGAGATGTCTTGAGGAACTACTTCCTTGCCCTTTCCTTTGTTGTTATTCTTCTTTTGCTTTTCTTTTTTATGAGCTTTAGCTTCTGCTTTCTTTTGCTTGCGGTTCTCTCTACGTTCTTGTTTTTCCATCCATCGTCTCATACCTGGCTTTAATCCAGGAGGAACATCAGCCAAAGCAGCCTTAAGTGATTGCCCAAATATCTCAGGATCAACAATGGCTTCATCATCTCGAGTACGATGACTCTTTTTCTTGCGAACGCTTTCATCCACCTTTGATGTTGGTTTATTTTTTTTGATGGATTTGATGATGACTGCTTCTTCCACTTCAATATCAAAATCATTTGGACTGTCTTGTGCTGCGGCTGGATCATCTAAAGTGTCGTAATTGTACAGATCTTCGGACTCATAGTCAAAAGTGCCATTTTGTAACAAACTTTGAGCCAGTAATTCGTTTAAATCTTCACCTTCTTCTAGTTCAATATTCTCGAGATAGTCCTGCATGATAAGCATATCTTCTTCATTCAATTCTTCATCCTCATCAAACTCCTCATCAAAATCCTCACCATCCTCAAAGTCATCTTCTGTGTCTTCAGACTCGATACAAACTCTTGCTGCGCCGTCTTCTTCGCCATCGGATGAATCAAGTTCATTTTCAACCAATGTCACCTTCTGATGTTGAGGTTCGTTTGATGCCATCTCAAGTTTTGCATAATCAAATGTCTCGATGACAGAAGGTTTCTTGTCAAGTTTGAGCATATTCCACAATCCTTGTTTGGTTGCTTCTTTCTCGTTTTTTGCATCTTCCAATGTCAAACTAGATAAGGACTCTGTCACTTGTTCTTGAACAACAATCGTTTCGCTTGCTAAATTAATCATCAATATTACATAGTCAATATTAGACAGTTTTTTTTTTCTTTACCTTTGCTTAAATCAACAGAGGAAGAAGATTTAGTAAATAAAACCTTTTTCAAGTATTTGGATTTCCCCTTTGCAAATTGTTCAGATTGTCTTGAATTTGCTGCGGAGGACGAAGAAGAAGAAGCGCCCAGTCCAAAACGATTGTTCTCTAAGCCATCATAATCATACTCGATAGGAGGACGAGGTTCCTTTCTAAACTTTGCTGTCTTCTTGTTTTTTTTCTTGTTGTGCTCTACAAATCTTATCAGCTAATTTTTATTAAGCTAGCTGGGATCGTTACTTGGAAAGGCTGTTTCGTCCTCACTTGACTCTTCACTACCAAACTGGGCATAAACTCGGAAGTCGTCGTCAAAGTCACTGATATTAGACTGAGGTTGATAAAGATAACCCATTGTAGAAGGAACAAGGTTTCTGTTACGGCCTCTTCCGCCACCTCCGAAACTTCCACGACCTCTGCCACGACTATGGCCACCTCTACCTCTATTAGAGCTTCCTTTTCTTCCGCGACCAGGCATTTGCTAGTATTGTTCTTGAGTGAATTGAAAAGAAAAAGGGAAACAAAAGGATTGACTGTTCTTTTTTTATAGACTTGCAAAAAAGTGTTTGAAGGTCCGTTCGATTCAAACAAAATATGCTGTTTGTGTATCGGATTATTCAATTCGATTGGACTTGAGGATTTTATACACTATGTACAATTAGCTAATGAGTGCGAGAATCTCCATAAAAAAATACATTGAATGTGTGGCACAATATCGCAGTTATTATATGCAGAGAAAAAAAAACAGAACGAAAAGGCAACTTCAAATCACAAAGGGAACTCTTTGAAGAGTTTTCTGTGCTTGGTATGAAAATAGTAGCTGCTTTTTAATTGCGATTGGATCTAATAAAACACCAGTCGTTTAAGAAAGCAACTTATTATTTCTCTTTAGGAAGCTAATCTGATCTACTATCAAAAAATCATGATTGACCAAGGTATTATCAAACCCTTGAAAGGAAAATTGACAAGTTAGAATAAGCACGGCTGGCTTTCTTGAATCAAAAATGAAAGCTAACTAAAATTTGCTGACTTTGCCAGATTTTTTTTTCGGTTATTCGTCAAAGGCGAAACTCACTAAGCATTACAGTTGACGAAACTAGGTTGGGCCAATAAAAAAAAAAAAGGTCATTTCCAAATTAAATTGGGACAGAGATGTGAAAATGGGACACGGAAGCGAAAATGGGACAAAGATATGAAAATGGGACGACAATGTTAGTATCTTTCATACGAATCAAAATTAGTGGTCGTTCCTTCAACAATCCTTGTTTACTGCGACTCGAACTCCAAAGTGGTATTAAGCTCTCGTCCTAGTCAACAGAGAACAAGTCTCACACGTTTTTTTTCTGGAGATTTGCACTGCTAAAATGAATTTTAAGGTTTTGGCTACACAAGGTTTATGCACGGTAGATAGAAGTTGTCAACATTTTTACTTTCTTTTTCAAAAAAGTATGCGTACGCCATTATATCCAGAAGTGGGAACCTTGATTAAGCTAAAGAAACAAAGCGAGCACAATGAACAACATGGAGTAGCAGAAACCAAATAAGACAACCGACAATAAAGCGAGGTAAAGTGTTTTGCTGATAAAAGAACTGTCAAGGAAGCTTACATTCTTTACAAGGCGTCAAGCGTAAAGATACGTTTGAAGAGAAGAAACTCAAAAAGGACGCAAAAATTGCGCGTAATTCTCTACCATCTACACAAGGTGTGATATGTAGATCATGTGGCAAGAGAAGACATGCTTCCGCAAGAAGTAAACAATGCCAGAACTACAATTTCAATTTATCAGAATTAATTCAGTAAAGTCTGGGCTCTTCAAATAAAAGATATTCAGTGTCAATTCCCTTAAGATCATTCATACAAACGCCTGATGATAATGCTTTTAATGTGATTCTAGGAAAAATACAAGGCCTGTCTCTGTTCCTGAGGGAAGTTATCTTCAAAGCCCAATTATTTGTGAATTATTACATTTTAAAACACCCACAAGGCTTGAGCAATGAATTTTTCAGCAAAACTTTTGGTATTCTGTGTGTCGTCTAATCAATGGAAATATGGAGATTGGCGAATTTGCTCAAAAATACTCTTATCATATCCCTTATCTGCACGAAACATGGGATGAGTTGAATGATTCTGACGATATAGACTTGCTGGTAAAAATTCAAGGCATAAAAAACTATGGTCAAGTTTTATCGACTGCCTGTGAAACAATCGCAACATGTTACAATAATTATTATATTGAAAACTTTGAAAATATAATATCCAACTATTTCATATATAAGCTGCGCACTTCTTTTGACGTAAGTCATGTAGGATCAAGCCCAGGACTAACTTTTTTTGCCAGCGGAACTAATAATACTCATTAATAGAACTTAAAGATGCCAGAAGTGAAGTATATTGTGTACAATCACGTAATGGAAACATTATTTTCCTCTGTTCCGACAACTATTACCGCTGAAAACATAGCAAGCTCGTTAAATAAGCGAATGAAAGCAAGGGTTTGTCTGTTCCTAAACCCTTTAATGTTACAAATAAGAAACAGATTATCTGCTACCTCTTTAACCAGGGATGTATTGAACAAAGCTCTCTTTGATATATTGCCGGCTTTGATATATATACTTGAGAACTACAAGTCAACAATTGCCAAAAATCAGCAATCACAAATAGAAGTAGCCCAGCAAGAGCAACAATCCGTAGAAGCAGTAGTGCCATTAATCCAGCAAAGGAGAAGACCAAAGAAGAAGAAGAAGCCAAAACAGCGTAATTCATCAACAGAGAACAACAACAGCAAGAACGAATTTCAACCACCAAAATTTCAACCACCAAGGCTATTCAGTTTATTTCCTAATCCAGGTTTTAAATGGCGTTTCATAAAAGTAGATGGCCAAAGCATAGCTGGTATTTTTTGGAAAGGTAGTCTAAGAAAACCTGAAGAGACGGTGTTTAACTTTGCTCAAAGATGCTTCTATGATAATTTTGATTTTAAAAAACTTAAAATCAACAGGTGAGTTGAAATCATTTTCAAAATAATTGATACAGGCAGTTCACTCACAATGATCTTACATATACAGCTTTGAAGATTTACAACAATTACCACAAAGAAAAGAAAAAACGTTCTTAAACAGTATCTACACAGATGGATATACATGTAGGGTCTCATTTTGCAGGAAGGTTCACTCCATATCACCCAATGATAAAGTATCCCTGAAGGTAGATGATTTCACTAGTGAAGAGGTTGATCGTTACTTTCGTCCTTGCACTGTCGATCCAAATAGGTCTGATGTCTTTGTATCCTATCATGGTAAAAATGATTTGAGGCGTTTGTCGACTGCCGATTATTACAACATGAATGGCACTGTCAACCGACAAAAGCTGGAGCAAGATAGAAAGAAAAGGTCGGATATAGAGCAGATTGAAACCCACTTCCCCTCACCCAAAACTGCAAAACTCCAATATTATACAAAATATGTTATGTATGTTCTTCAACATTTTCGGGCGTTAGCAAATTTTTACGGCTTTAACACTGCTAAAATCAAATGGTGCAACTACAAAGGCTCTCAACAAGCAATCGAAAATGCAGTCAACATTCTCATTAATGGTGCAAAAAAAAAAAATATAACAAAAGGAAAAGAAAGAATACCAAAAAGAATAAGCGGAAGAGACGCAAGACATCAAGTAGTTATCAATACGTTCATCATGATAATTATCCACCAAATACAGGGGTAATGAGGTCAAGGCATAGCACATATTTCTTGTATTCTTCTCCTTAAAGCAATATTCTTAATAATTTGAATGAAGATCACATAAGGAAAAGTTTGAAGAAGGTGATCAAAGTAAAATGCCATTGATTGTTTTTGGAGATGGTTTGAAAAACAAGTCGCATGTCAAGTTTAAAGGTTTACGTTATGGCGTCATTGAAAAGTTGTACAGACAATGAAAAACGCGGAGAGTTGTTACTTCTGGACATAGACGAGTATAAGACTTCCAAGGTTTGTAATTTGAATATTGACACTTCTGTATTATAAAGACACAATCGCTCAATCTATTTGGAACGGCCAAGGACGCTCTACCATGTTCAACCGACAAAGCGCTACCTCGAATGTGGTGCCTGAGCTTTAATTAGCGAAGGCTTAAGGATTCTACAGGCAAGAGGTCTCAAAAATAAATCTTTCCATTTTCTAACTCTTATCAATAAGTAAATAAACCAATTTTGATTTGTATGAAAAATATTAACATTGTTGTCCCAACCTAGTTTCGTCGACTGTAAGGCTCACATAGCAAATAAAAAAAAAAGAACTGATTTGGCACAATAATCGCAAAAAGTAAGAAAAAAAATTCATCTACAAAACTATTCCCGATGTCGATGGGACTCGAACCCACAATCTTTAGATTCGAAGTCTAATGCGTTATCCATTACGCTACGACACCGTTCCGGTGATGTCGATTTGATATTTTACTTAGGTTTGTATTCTTATAGTCAAGTCACGAGACAATAGAACGTTTCTTAGCCAATAGATTCACTGGGAAATATTCTGGAAATAACGTGACGTCACAGAAAGGAACTGTGTATTGATACAGTAAGTATAAGATCTTTATTTATAATAAATGTAATGTTACCTGTGTATTGATACAGTAAGTATAAGATGAAGAACTTACAAGTATCAATAACACAGTATTTATATGTTTTCTAATTGTACTAAAATATATAAACTATAACATATGGAGAAGGAAGTAATTAAATACTTAAAGCTGATTGATGTTTCTGTCTTGACGAATCTAAAGTGTGCTTGGCTTTACTAATGCGAATCAAGTTGAGGCGGACTTTCTTTCTTCTTTTGTTCAGTACTTGTGGTTTAAACCTTCGTTTGTTCGGATTATAGTTTGTTGGAAGGTTATATTCAACTTCAATTGGCTGTTTCTTACTGGAATCGCTATTTTCTGTGACATTACCCCCCTCCTGGCTTGATGTTCGTCTCTGAACATTAGAAGCTTGGTTAGAAGGAGGTACTGTAAATGAGGAGCAAGGAGCAGACGCGTCTTGAATACCAGACAAAACCGACATCGGATTGGTAGTAGAATTTGTAAAAGAGTCATCCACGTCCTCAGCATCGTCAACATCAATGTCAATGTTAAACTCGGAATCAGGTAGATCTAACGAATTAGGTGCAGAGTCTGTGAGGATTTCCTGAGCGTCGACAAATTCGTCATTGGCAATAGATATTGGTTCAGTAGTATCTATGGCGAAATCGCAAGGAGGTGCAGAGACAGAAAGCATCTGTGAATTGTTTGTAGTAGGTAGGACATTGTCGTGTTTAATGTCCAAAGGGGACTCATCACTTGTTATAACAGGTTCAGCTGCCAGTTTCGAGACAGGAGAAGATACCTTTAACGAAGAATGGCTTTGATTGTATATGGTAGGAGACATAGCTTGGTCAGGTAAATCCAAGGTCGGCAAGAATGGTGAGTTTGAGTCGTATACCTGTGTACCAGTTGCATTTTCTATGCGTGGTGTCGAACTAATAGGAGTGATTATTG